TATGTCCTTCAGGGGGAGATATATATGCCAAAGAAGACAAATTTTGTAATTTTTCACACAAAAGTCAGGGTCCATTTGGCCCGCTAAATATTGGCCGATCTTTATCAAGACAGGCATGCTTATTCTTTGGCCCGATCCCCTTCTCTGGAAGGGGTCTCTGGAGCAACCAGAAAATCAGACAAAAATAAAGTTTTTGGTCCATTTCATCCCCTAAATATTATCCGACCTTTACCAAAAACAATAGGGGTCTTCATTGGGCCAGATTGGTCCATTACTGTGGCCTGTATCGTGTTTACAAATTATAGTGGACAGACGGACGGACACACATGTCTAGATCGACACAGCTGGTCGAGATATGATATACTTAAAGGTGGGTATTTCGCGGCGTTACAAACTCTTGGAGCTGCACAAAACTATAATACCCTGGCGACGACGATGGGACTACCTAATACATGTGCCTTGAATTCGAAGATGGGACTACCTTACACATGTGCCTTGGGTATAACTATTAAAATTTCGAAATTCAACATTTCATGTCATAATTTAAGAAAAATATTTTTTCTTTTTCTCCTAAAATCTTATAAATTTGTGATGATGCAGAATTTAATGTAAGTAAAGCGAAATTTTTAATAATACATATTGCTGCTATTTCAATTTTTTCAGAACTGTTAGAACTGTCCAGAAATCACCACGTATTCAAAGAAGTTCTCAAATGGAATTAAATGGTTGTCAACAACGAAGTCCGCATACACTAAAGACCAGTGACAATTTGAAACGAATAAAAAAATCGGCGTAAGTTTGATTTTTTTTTAATAATAGAAAATTCCGTTGCATCCCCTTTTTAGGGTAATACCCATGGAGGGACCTAGGACATTGGCTATTAATTCAACCAGCGAAAAAAATTGTGTGCCATTAAAGGGATTGTATGCTTCGGATTTAAATGTTAATGACCAAATTGTATTAAAAAAGACAAAGGAGAAAACTGATAATAAGAAAAAGAAACCGATGGGTAGTTTTATGAAAGAGAAGAAAAGAAAAATGAAAGTAAGTATTAATTAATCCTTAATAGATAACCTGGATTGTAAATTGTAAATGATCTAAAGCATTACCATAATGTTCAATATTTAAATTATGTTTATGAAATTAATTTTATAACAAATTAAAAATTGTTGTCTTCTTTACAAACCTCCGGAAAATTTGTTTCTTGATTTTTTCGAGTTTCTTAGAATTTATATCCTCAAATTCGAATGCACAATATTTAAATATTAAATTATTTAACGTTTTTAACCTTACTAATAAACATATCTGCCATTTTACAGCCCTCCTGTAAATATTTCTTACGAATTGTTCCATTCAAATACCCTACCAAGAGCTATGTTCATCAATCTAGCAAAAAGACCTATGCTGATAAACAAACAAACACTGATACAATATTATCAAACTATATTTATGCTCCACTTAGAAAGGAACAACGAATTCAACCTATTAAGTCAAATAACTTCCTAGTTACAAGACAATCAAAACCAAAAAGCAAATTCTGTGCTGGTAAGTTATAACATATTTAAGTAAATTATTTGTAAATATTTTATTTATCAAATCTCTAAAATAGATTTTATAAAAATATCTGTCTTTGTCGCTGTAATATTTTGGCTATTAGTATTATTCTCCGATTCCGAATTGCATACCAACACATGGCATTATGTTACAGAATTATTTCATGATTGGTATGCCACTAACAATGAAATACCCAAAACTAAATTTGAGTTAATGATTGAATTTTTAATAAATTTGTGATCTCAATATACATAAGTCGTATTAAATAAATACATCATATTAAAAAAATATCTGTTCGAAGTTCCATTAGTCAAATTTGCATAGACGCGTATCTTATCAATTAGGTATCCATAAATAATCAACAAAAGAACTAAATGGAAATAATATTATTAAAATTTCATTTAAGAATGAAAGAACTGAAAACGCAATTTCTTATGTCTTGCAATAAAAATTTAATTGTCTTTTAACAGTTCATTGATGGGTGGTATGTGTTTTGATTTTATTTTTACAAAAAAATATTATATAAAAATATCGTCTTTAATATTTTGTCCAATAACATCAGTTTGCATAATACACAACGAAGAAGAAAACAATAACAACGAAAAAGGACAAAACAAATTTGAAATATTACACTCAAAGAAAAAACATCGGTCAACTAAGTGACCACTAAAAGCAACCAATCATCATAACACTGAACAAATAAATCGTCATTTACGTCTAAGCGATTAAAGTGATCTTTATATATTTTGTACGTCTATATTTAGTCTTTATATTCGACCTTACATTCACCTTGATATTATTGACTATGGACCTTAAAATCGTCTTATTTGGCGACGAACTCATAATCCTTTATAGAAAATATTAGGTCTTTATAACAGTACGTTTACTTTATACTGGATTTCATTAACCCAGTGGGTTTAAATTGTCAATTCAATTGCATATATGTTAAATAAATCCTCATAAAGTAGGTTAACCCGGTAAAAAAATCTAATGAACATGCCGTTTAAATAACCTTTAAACGACATCATAGTCAAAATTACAGACGCCTTCATATATGACCTTTTGATCCTCTTTATGGACATACTCATAGACTAACTTATTTTCATTCTTACAGACGTTCTTATTATTGTCTTAATTTTAGGCGACAATAAAGTCGTCTTAATAGGCGACCCTATATACATCAAATTTAATTTTAATGGAATCTTATAGTCATATATTTATAGACCCTCCTATATTCGTCTTATAGACGAGCATATACACAACTTTATAGGCACCCTTATATTCACATTTATATGGCGTTTTAATCATCTTATAGACATATACAATGACGAACTTATTTTCGTCCTTATAGACGAACTTTTAGTGATCATTTTAGGAGTGATTAAAGTCGTCTTATTAGACAACCTTATGGTCGACTTGATTACCGACCTAATAGTCATTTTATAGAGGTCTTCTAGACTCCTTTATATTCGTCTTAACACGATCATATAGACGCATTTATATTCGTCTTGTTAAAATAGTCTATATGAATATATTTATTAGAATCTAATTGGACTTTTGCCAGCAGTCAAAGCAAACAGACCAATTGTTGGAGATTCAAGATCGCCTTTTGAACATCCTGCGGAGTTCTCATGGAGGACCCTAGTTATAAGAAGCAATGCAGACCATTGCAGCGAATACCATTTCTGACGTAATTAAAAAATATTTTTAATACCATGTTCTGACGGGCATTCGAACAACTTAGTTCGCTCTCAGAATTACGTACACGAATTAACTTGTTCATACAAAACTATTCTTAATTCATGTCATCAGAGTTTTTTATTTCAAACTTTTTGTTTCTTGTTTTACACCAAAATTGTAACATATTTGCGTGAATCACATATGGATCTAAATAGAAAAAATAATTCTCTTTCTCCTGACTATAGTATATGCTAATATTCAGTAAAGGCCTTCTAATTACTTGTCCAATTTCCCTTCACCGTGGGTTGTGTTGTGATCGATCGACCCTAAAAAACACAAAAAATTAGGTTTTCGGTCCACTTCATTTCAAAATTATTATCTGCTCATCACCGAAAATTATAGACGTTTTCCTTGACCATAACTGGAATATCATGGAAAATTTCAAAGCGATTAGCGCTATATTTCAGCCCTCTAGTGTGGTAATGGGTTACTAAATAATATCTGAATACGTATGATGGTGTCTAGGACCAATATTTCCACGTTTATGAATGACGCTTGAAATCTGAATCGATTTGAAAAAAAAAACTTGACACAAGCCTTTTGGTATCCGCGTATTTTGGAAAACTTGCCAAACATACTTATTTGTTATTGATTTTATAACGTTTTTTTCTTCTCTGGTAAAATAATTAAAATAGTATTACGTCCGTTTCCATTTATGGTGGCATATCTAAGTCTTTCCTTTATATCTCTTAATCTCATTTTTATATTTGTTGAAAGGCTCTTTGTGGCACTCCAATCTGCATTAGGCTTAGACTTACTATCCCTGTTAAACGATTTCCTTGCAGTTCTTCGAAAAACTAAAATGTATCTGGTTCACCAAAACGTCTGGAATTTTTCCGAAGATGTGTGATTAGACAAGCGAACTCATAGCAACTCAGAAGAGTTTTGATGCCTTTTGAACATCATTAATCGTTAATAGGTCGTAATAACCACTGATTTCCGAATCTTTTTCGAATTAAATTTGTTCCCAACTGTCTTTCTATGGTTCCTAAAGGTCTTCCGTTTCACTCCTATACATGTACAAATTAAAAAAGTAAAATAAAATTCTAAAAATACAAAAGTCCTGTCAAAATGTATGTATATTTATTGTGAGGCCTTAACCATTGTGATTTATTTAATAATTTAATAATAAGTAATACCCCATATATTCCGCCCATTTAACAAATTAAACTCAATAAACTTCCATAAGAAAATAATTTATTTATTTTTTTTTATTGTTGTTACTTTTCTCTTATGTTTTACAGAAAACATTTCTGGAAAAATTGAAATAAATCAAATATTATATTTTCATTTTTAAAAAAGCTGAGCTGTTGTTGTGTTTTATAATCAATGCTCTTCTTTGGAATTGAGCGACTACTGGTATTGATTAAAAATTTTGATCAACTATATTTTGGGCATTTTGTTACTGGTTTATTTTAGATATTCTTGTATTTTTTAATTGCGCCTGGCTCATTTCTATATTAAATAATTGATTGATCTAAATTCATTTGATTTTTTTTCTAAAATTATTTTTTTAAAGTGGTGCTCGTTTCTTTCAAAAAAAGTACATGCATAAATTTCATAATTTTTTTTTTCTTTCATTTTTGTTTTCTCAATACAATAAAAGCAGTTGCTGTTTGTTTGTTTGGCGTAAAAATATTCTTACAAAATATATAAATATATAAGTGCAGATAATTACTATAAATATGTATATTATAACAATAATTATTATTTTAATATAGACTAGTTTTTTTCATGATACGTAGAAATTCATCTTGATTCACTTCACCATCATTATCCAGATCAGCTTCATCGATCATTTCTCGCAATTCCTCATCGGTTAGGGTTTCGCCAAGTTCACGAGCCACTCGCTTAAGATTCTTAAACGATATCTTACCCGTGTCATCGTCGTCGAACAAACGGAATGCCTTAAGTATTTCCTCTTTGGTATCCTTTTCGGCCATTTTCATAGTCATCAAATGCAGGAAATCATTGAAACTTATTTTTCCATCCTTGCCATCGATTTCTGCTATCATACGTTTAATTTCTTCTTTTTTCGGTTCGAAGCCCAAAGCTCTGATGGCCACCTTCAGTTCTTTGACTTCAATGAATCCCGTACAGTCAACATCGAATAGATCAAAGGCTTCTTTGATGTCCTGCTTTTGGGCATCGGACAGCTCGAATTTAGGACCAGACTTTTTACGACCCGTACCAGTTACTCCAACAGCCGTTGATTTTTTTGCTGTTGCCACAGCGGTTTCTTTGGAGGACGTACGTTCCATATCTAAAATCTAATTGAAATACGAAAACAATATGAAAACCATAATATTTCGATTGCGTCCCATCACCATCTCACCTTTTATTTGTTTATGATAAATAATGAAGACACCGGTTTCTCTGTGATATTGTTCGTTGTTATGTATAGATAAAATAGTATCCTTTTTGTGTATTTATATAACTGCTGTTTAGCCCACTCACTCGCTTGCTTCCTTTTTCTTCTTTTTATAGAGTATCGATTTGTTGTTGCTAGTCTGTTTGTTTGTTTTTCTATTTTCAAACTCAATGACAGTATACTCTATGTTTTCCACCCCCAAAATAAAATTTGTACTTCAAATTTCGAATAATATGCATTAATCCATATGAACAGGTGGTATATTATTTATATTTTCCACATCAACAACAAAAAAACAGTATCCTTGGAGCACTCAGGGAGTTGAGATGCCAGACTGTTGCAAATTGTGTGCAGAAGAAACGTAAATAAAAATAAACGGCGGTAATCAAAACAAAATTACCGAAAGAAATGAAGGGCAATAACGATCGATACATTATTTTAGGGATCTACAGATCGAAGAAGAATGTTAATTAAATTCATGATGCAATAATAAGGTGATGTATCAAAACAAAAACTATTTTGTCTCGACCATCTGCACATTGAATTCAAGTAAAAATTGCGCACTTTGACAGTTAATCAAGACATCAGCTGGGCCAAACGGACTACCTATTTATTATGTCGTGATTAAATTTAACCGTTGAGCCACATAACTAAAAACGCGGAAAATTAATGAAAGGTTATGATTTCTTTCGAAAATCCAGTAAGAAATACCATGAAATATTTGTTTTATCAATAACAAAGTAATTAATTCCAGACGGACGCGTTAAGAAATCATTTTCATTTCAATTAAATTTGAATATGTTTCAGTTTATCTTAAATTTATTTGACATAGTATTCAAAACAATACACACACACAAAATATGTATTTTGATTTGATGGAACAAGCCAACTTTAAAAAAATGTAAACAGTTGGTAGCTGTGCCCTACCTTGTAATAATTATACCATGTGGCTGTGGTGGTTTTTGAATTTGCGAGGATCCATTCCAACGTAATACTTGTGTCAATATGAATTTGACAAATTATGTTTTTAAAAATTACCCAACAGTTGTTTATTAAACGTCCTCCTGTAGTCCATTTACTTAATCTGGGGAAGATTAAGAAAGCAAATCGTTCTTTGGGGAATAACTCGCAATTACCAGCAGTTGCATATGTCTTACACATATAAGTGGAAATGGCTCAATTAGAGGAAAGATGTGGAAGCGATAGAAATATAAATTTGGTAGATTATAATTCACGTTTTTCAATTTGAGTATTTCAAAATATTTCGTTTTTAACATGGCCCAAAAATCAGGTCATCTAAAAGGCGAATTTAATCAAAAGTACAACACTGCACCCGTATCTATTGGCAAAATTTGTAATTAAAGCGAAAATCTTATTTGGAAATTATTTTTAATTTACCACATTTTTAAGAGCGCACAACACAAATTGGTCACCACACACTATTTCCGTAAACAATTCAATTGTTTTTTCTAAGATTTGAAATATATTTTTCATATTTTAACAAATTTATTTTTTAATAGAATATCCCGTTCGGCATTTTTGTGTAGGTTAGTGCTGGGAAAGCATGGAAAATGGTTTGGTTTGTTCTCTGTGTTCTCTTTTAGCAAGTCATTTCATATGGCCGTTTCTCATTTATTCTCCGAGCATTTTCTCTCTGCACACCCCTAGTGTAGGTATACTATGGTTTTTATTGGAATTTAAATCAAAACAACATAGTTTAACAAAATATATAGATATCAGCTGTCCTTGCTGGGTGACCTATTATATAGACCTTGGTTTATTCCTCAATTAATTTCCTACTCCCCCTTTTATTTTCACAATCGTCATAAAAAGTTATCGATAACATCACCGCAGCCATCTGTTATCGTCGTCCGTGTTTTTCTTTTTGTCTTCTTTTTTGCGGCTTTTAATGTTACGAGTGTGTATGTGTGTGCATTTTGCAATAATTTTATTTTGATTTACAGTCCAAGAGAAAGAAACGGCGAACCAGCGACCAAGGCGACGGCCAGTAACACAAAAAAACCCACAATATATCTTTACTCCATAACACACAAAGAAACAATCAAATTAACAACCGCTGAGAGAGTGATAAGATTGAAAGAACAACTAGTTAGCCGCAAGTACATATCAATTAGTTCATTCAATATAAAGCAAACGTTTAAACCATTAATACACGTTATCATCCATTCGATTCCTCATTCGACGACACCATCAGTGCGTATTATTATGAAAGACACAACAGAAATTCTAAAAAAGCTGCGTCAGCTGATGCAGACACATGGGCCGAGTCCTTTGGCAGCCTATATTGTGCCATCGGACGATGCCCATCAAAGTGAATACATCTGTCAGCATGATGAACGCCGGGCGTTTGTCAGCGGATTTGATGGCAGTGCTGGTACAGCTGTTATAACTGGCGACAAGGCTCTGCTGTGGACAGATGGACGTTATTACCAGCAGGCTCAAAAGCAATTGGATTCCAATTGGGAACTAATGAAAGATGGTTTACCCACAACACCCAGTGTTGCTAGCTGGTTGGCTTGTAATCTGGCCAAAGGCAGTAGGGTAGGAGTTGACCCCAAGTTATTTTCATATCGTCTATGGAAACCCATTGAAAAAGAACTTTCCGGGGCTGAGTGCAGTCTCATTCCTGTGGAAGACAATTTGGTCGATATTGTTTGGGGTGATGAACAACCAAAGCAGACATCGAATCCCATTATTACATTGGACACTACCTTTGCCGGTATGACCGTATCCGATAAGTGGGCCAATGTTAAGGAGAAGTTGACCGAAAAGAAGGCCCAGGCTTTGGTGGTTAGTGCTTTGGATGAAATTGCCTGGTTTTTAAATTTGCGAGGATCCGACATCGACTATAATCCAGTATTTTTCTCATATTTGATAATCACCCACGAACAGCTTATGTTCTTTGTGGATAGCTCAAAACTGCCCAGTGATTTCAAGCAACACCAAGCAAGCAATGGCGTGGAAATTAGCCTTTATAGTTACTCGGCCATAGGGGAAGAACTGGGACGTTTGGCAGAAAATAATGCTGAAGCTAAAATCTGGATTTCTCCTGGTTCTAGTTACTACCTCAATGCATTGATTCCAAAGAAAATCAGACATCAGGAAATTACTCCAATTGCATTGGCCAAGGCCATTAAAAATCCCATCGAAGTAGAGGGTTTCATTAATTCCCACATACGTGATGGTGTGGCACTGTGTCAATATTTTGCATGGCTGGAACAAATGATTGCCAATAAACAGCCCGTTGATGAAATCTCTGGTGCAACTAAACTTGAAGAATTCAGATCGAAAAAGGAACACTTTATGGGTTTGAGTTTTCCCACCATCAGTTCTTCAGGTCCGAATGGTTCGGTTATTCATTACCACCCAGCCCCGGAAACAAATCGTCCCATTAACGATAAAGAGATATATCTGTGTGATTCGGGTGCCCAATATAGAGATGGTACCACCGATGTTACGCGTACTTGGCATTTTGGTGAACCAACCGATTTTCAAATGGAAACCTATACCCGTGTGCTGAAGGGTCAACTGACTTTGGGTGCAACGATATTCCCGAAAAAAGTTAAAGGTCAGGTATTGGATACGTTGGCCAGAAAGGCTCTATGGGATGTGGGTCTAGATTATGGCCACGGCACCGGCCATGGTGTTGGTCACTTCTTGAACGTACACGAAGGACCTATGGGTGTGGGTATACGTTTAATGCCCGACGATCCTGGTCTACAAGAGAATATGTTCATTTCCAACGAACCGGGATACTATCAGGATGGTGAATTTGGTATACGCATTGAGGATATTGTACAAATTGTACCGGCCTCTTCAAAGTATGACTTCAACGGTCGCGGTGCATTGACATTCAAGACAATTACTATGGCTCCCAAACAAACCAAAATGATTAAAAAGGAGCTTCTACTGCCCGAAGAGAAAAAGTTGTTGAACGACTATCATCGTCTTGTGTGGGAGACACTGTCGCCAATATTAAAGAAAGAAGGTGATACACTTACTCTAGCTTGGCTGGAGCGGGAGACAAAAGAAATCTAAGAGATGATGCATTTATAAAATGTGACAGACAAAACATCTTTGAAAAATTGTTTTTTTTATACAAACATACATATATGTGCGTATATAACTATAATAAGTAAATTTTTATAATATATTCTGTTATTAAGCGCAGGCAGTTGTCTTTTTTTAATAAAGCAAACAAGAAATAAGTAAATACAAATAAATATATTTTGTTGTCTCTTATAACTGGTATTTGCAATTAATTTCATGAACATATGCGGGTATTGTTTAATAATTCAATAAGTATTTGTTTAATCTATGGCCATATATACAGTGGCTCCATCGAATAATCGGACAAGTGGTTGTCAGGTATAATAACGCTATACATTTCAAAAAAAAATGTCTAAATGTGTAATTTTTTCGCTTTTATTTACACATTACTTACTTATATTTCTGAACAATACAAAAAACAACAACTTTCCTAGTGATAACAGTAAATTTCGTCAGAAAAACAAAATTAACTCAATTTATTGTGTTCAACGCAAAATCGGACAAAGCAAAGTATCAATGTTTAAAGTCCCGTTATTATGCAAATATTAACTTCAAATCGGTATTTTGTTTGTCATATTCATTCGTAAATTGCATTTAGACCAAGAAAGTGGTAATACTAAATAAAAATAAATGTAAATGGCTCCAAAAGGGAAACAATCCAGTGTGGAAATCAGGCAATTAATATATAAATTGAGTTATGAAGATAAAACAGTAAGAGAAATTGCCGAATTGGTAGGAATGAGTAAATCTACTGTCCACGACATTATAAAGAGGTTCCGTGATGAGTTCCGATTGACCAATAAAAGCAGAGAAGGTCAAGGGAAGATATTAAATGAGCGAGAAGAGCGTTCGATATTAAAAGAAATAAAACAATATTCATTTTAAACCGCAAAAGAACTTAAAATAAATTTAAAAACTCGCACTGGAAAAGATGTGTGCCTAAATACTATTGGCAATACATTGCATAAATATAATTATTATGGGAGAGTTGCAAGAAAAAAGCCATTTATTAGCCTTAAAAATAAAAACTGTAGTATAAAATATGCCAAGGAGTTTTTACTAAAACCAGACGATTATTGGAAGCAGGTAATTTGATGATAGATCATCTTAAAATAAATTTCTATTGATAGTTTTCATTATATTAAGGTTCTGTTTACTGACGAAAGCAAATTTAATTTGCACGGATCAGATGGGAAGATGTATGTGTGGCGTAAGCCAAATGCTGACTATAATAATGAGAATACAAAAGCCACTGTTAAGCACGGAGGAGGTTCCGTTATGGTTTGGGGCTGCATGTCGAGTGCGGGAGTAGGTAATTTGCATTTTATTGATGGTAAAATGGACAAATTTGTCTACCTCAACATTTTAAAACAAAATGTAAAGCAAAGTGCAGACAAATTGGGTATCGCGAACAACTTTGCCTTTTATCAAGACAACGATACCAAGCACACATCAGGTGTAGCAAAGCTTTGGTTGATCCATAACTGCCCCAAACATATACAAACACCTGCACAGAGCCCAGACCTTAACGTAATTGAGCATCTTTGGGAAGAATTAGCTAGGAGAGTGTATGAAAAAAAATTTAACTCCTTAGTACAGCTTAAGGAGGCTTTACTGGAATCGTGGAACTCCATAGAGCCGGAGGTATGTCAGAATTTGGTCAAATCAATACCGAAGCGTTTACAGGCCGTTCTGGACAACAAAGAATATGCAACTAAATATTAGTTTCTCGATTTTTTGCATTTTTTACCATTGATACTTTGCTTTGTCCGATTTTGCGTTGAACACAATAAATTGAATTAATTTTGTTTTTCTGGCGAAATTTACTGTTATCACTAGGAAAGTTGTTGTTTTTTGTATTGTTCAGAAATATAAGTAAGTAATGTGTAAATAAAAGCGAAAAAACTACACATTTAGACAATTTTTTTGAAATGTATAGCGTTATTATACCTGACAACCACTTGTCCGATTATTCGATGGAGCCACTGTATATTGAGATTATTCTGTGTAATTTAAAGCGTTTTTTATCAGCGAGAATTGTATGAAATCTAATCTTTTTGTATGACCGACTATGTTGGTTGTAGACATTTTGATTTCATATCATATATAAACATTGCTTGATATTAACGCCAAACAACAGCCAATGTTTATTAATTGCAGTTCTTTATGGCAATGGTAATCCTTCAACGATAACCAATCACCGAAATAGACTGGTAATTCAAATTAAAACAATTCTTAATATAGCCGTATGATTTACTCTGTTTTTTACAGTTGCTAGTACAACATTCTACTAATATAAGGGTGATTATTTAAGATCTATAGGAAAGTTAAGTAAAACCATTAAAAAAGGTATACTGATAGTTACTTGAAATGGAAATATAGGGACATACCAAAAAGTATACATTTACCCTGGCTATTCCAAAAGCGGGACCAATCGTGTAGGAATTACGGAACATTTTGAGTTACTATTATATGAGGGGCTATGCCTAATAGAGGTTATATGGGCACTACCCCCAAAAAAGGCAGGTATAAATAATTTTTGGTAACAAATCTACCAAATACGACTAGGAAAAAAAATACCAAACTCCAGCTAATTCGGTGGAAAACGGAGCTTAAAACCCGCAAAATATTAAAAAAAAATTAAGTACAAATTTGGTACCCAATAAGAACGCAAAGTGCCAAATTAGAACACATTCAGTCGGAAAACGCGGTTTAGAAACCCAAAATAACGATAAATGGTGAGTACCGTCATATGGGGACTACCAGAAAAAGTGGATTTTGATCATTTTCAGTGGAGACATTTTGTACCCAAAGAAGAACCCATTCTACCCAATTTCAGCGAGTTCGGTTGAAAAGCGCGCTCAAGAACCCCAAAATATCGAAAATTGGCGGTATATGGGGCCTAAAAATGAACCGACATAGCTCATCTTCGAACTGCAGACAAAATTTTGGCGATCAACCTCAATTCGTTTACAGGATAGAGTGATTATAACAGACATACGGACATGCTTAAATCGTCGTAGAATTTTACGCTGATCAGGAAATATATACGAGGGCCGTTCGGAAAGTTCTTAGCCTAGCACAAAAAGCGCGGTAGAAGCAGAAAAAAGTTACGTGTTTTGGAAACTTACATCTCTTTTATGAACACATGTTAAATTTTATTTTGGTCTGGCAACTCCTTCATATAGAAACATGTGCCCAAAAAAGACGCCTCCGCAATTTTTTTTACAATGGGAAGTTAGGCTGACGTCAGAGTGCGCGCGAGAAGCGATATCCCGCTAGACGACGCTATAAACCTCTGCGTGTGTTTTCTTATGGCATAGCGCAAAAACTGTCAGAGTGGATGCTATGCTACAAGCGATAAAGCGAGTTGTGCAATGGCTTATAGCAAGAACTCGCTTTGTCTCTGTTTGAGTTTCATTGTTCATTATTTTAATTTACCGTTTTTGATCGGTTTTTGGCATCGTTATTTTGGATCTTTTCGCATTTTAATGGCATGGATCAATCTGTCAGAATTTGTTTGTGCAAATGTAATTAAATAATAATAAAATAATTTGGAAAAAATAAGGGAAATTGATGCAAAAACATTTATTAATTTCGTGAAATTTCTTTTAAAAATTACGTTGAAAATATTTTGCGACATGAAATTTTTTTTTTGTCTGAATCCTTATTGTTTACACTGAAATAGGCGATGTAAACAAACAACACGTTTTGCTCTCTATAGCACCCACTCTGACATATTATAGCATTAAAGTAGCATGAACTATTATCGCTTGCACTCTGACGTCAGCCATAGAAATGCGTGCTTTCATTGTAAAAATTGCGGATAGGTCTTTTCTGAACACCTGTTTCTATATGAAGTTGCCAGATCAAAACGAAATTTAACAACTGTTCATAACAGAGATGGAAGTTTCCAAAACACATTACTTTTTTCTGTTTATATCTCGCTTTTTGTTCTAGGCTAAGAACTTTCCGAACTGGATCGCAGTTGATTCATATATGATTGTGAACCCTAGAATCTGGATCGAGATTCTTCTCAATCCTGAAAACTTTCGGCCAAATTAATGAGCGAACATCTTCGAACCACCGTTTCGTGGTAACAGTGATTCAGGGCCAGACTTTGAGAATGTCTTAACTGTTGCCTATAGTTTAAAAGGGTAATTTCCAATATGATAAACTACTCAAAATAATAATTACTATGTATAATAAAACAAGTAAAAATATAAATGTAATTCCGATCATTCCTCACATCATCACAATGATGTATGATAGTGCTGCATCCCTCCAACGATGTGACTACCATGTTCTTCCAAATCATCAAATCTATCGCATCAATTTATAGTGGTGTCTGTCCTTCGAGGAGTGAGACTCGGGGTGGTTTCGAAACGTAGACCCCATTACAAAGGCAATATAATCCCTTTCGCTGTATTCTCGTAACCGACGTAAACCGGCTATTATCACCATATCAAACCTCATTCAATTATTTAAAAATCATCACACGCGTTGTTGGTAAATATCTTTTGTTTTAATTTCTTTTTTATTTGTATTGTTTTGCGTATGTATATAATGATACTGTGAAATGTATGTTCGTTTAGGAATCTTGTAGGCTAAAAAAAATTAAAAAAAATATATATATTGTTGAGATTATAAAAAAATGTATTTACAAAAAAACTAATTATATAAAAAGGGGACAATTTTTATTTTTAAAAATGAGACATTTTTAAATGGTTTTCTTTGTTTTGCTTGAAATGTTGTTGTTAAACTAAATTAAACATAAAGACCATTAGGGTAAAATGATTTTTTTTAAATAAAATAAGTGGTCATGTAAATATCCAATTCTTAGGAGATAGAGAGAAGAAAACACATAAACACAAATAAAATTTTAAAATATATATATCATAAATGGTACAACGATGAATGGCTATTAATTAGAAACTCTTTTTTGTGGTGTTGTGTACAAAAAAAAAATGTTATGGATATTATGAAACAATAAACGAAATGTTTAAATAAAAACAAAATATTTAAGACAAACAAACAATTGGAATATAGAGGGAGGAGTTTGTTTTGCTGAGCAGGGGGCATAATTATTACAACAATTTCTTTTGTAGAATGTATAATTAGTTGTGGTGGCTGTGAATACAATATTTCTCGTTTTTTCTTTTGGAAAAACATTTCCCAATTGAATATATGTATGTGTGTGTTTGTATATTTAAAACTAATATGTAGTGTCCTATATATATATATGATGTAAACCACAAGGACTACAAATAAATTAAGCCTCAAAATCTGAATCATCATCTTCATCACTTTCACTGTCCGCAAAGCGTTTCTTTTTCTTCTTCTTTGTCTGAAATGTAACGTTAATATTAATTTCAAAATTCGAAAGCATTTCAACAGCATTACTACATACCTTCTTATCTGAATCGCTATCGGGACTGGATAGATTTGCTTTCTTTCGTGGGCGTTTGGCTGCTGCTGCAGGCTTTTTCTTTTTAACCGGTGAATCTTCTTCGGGTTGGAAATCATCAAAGTCACTATTTTCGGCATCGGATATTTTGGTAACGGCAGCAGTGGAGGGTTCTTTGACAGCATCATTTTCTTTGAAAACCACTTCACCGTCACTACTCTGCTCCTCTTCCGAATCCAATAGACCAGAATAGTTGATCTTTTTGTTGGTGGCTGCACGACGACCAGGACGATCGGCACGTGGTGCCACCGCCGCAACGTTCATTTCCACATCGCTGCCAGACAAGTTTAAGTCATCTTCATCCTCATCGGAGCTTCCGGCCTTTTTCTTTCTCTGCAAATTAATAATGCTCAAAATGCCGCTGACATATACCTTTCGTGTGTATTTATACTTACACCTTTGCCGCCCTTGAAATTCAACGTGGACTGTTTCAGTCCATCGCCTGCATCATCTTTCTTTTTGCGTCCTTTTTTGGCACCTGTGGTGCCAGGTTCTTTTTTAATTTTCGTTGCCTTTGCAGCACCACCACCACCCTCTACCAGATTATCGAACTCATCACCTTCTTCTTTAACGGCACCTTCCTTTGCAGCCTTCTTGTCTACCTTTTCCTTCTTGACTTTGGTTGTAGCTGCAGCTGCGGCAGCCACCTTCTTTAATATTTCTTCAGTTACCTTAAATTCGACCTTCACACCCTGTGGATCTGGGAAAACGTCGGCTCCACCCTTATCGCCACCACGTTTCTTAGTTACTGCTGCTGCGGCTGCCTTATTCTTGGCCAAAGCCTTAGCTTGTTTCTTGTTAATACCCAATTCATCGAGACGTTCCTTCTCTTCAACTTCATCCAGTTTCTTTTCTAATTCATCGAGATCATCTAACCACAACATTTGTATGGTCTTCTCTTTGAGGGCAGCCAGTTCGGCAAGCTTCTGATCTCGCTGCTTCAAGAGTTCATTTTTACGTTCCTCCGTCAACATCCACATGGACATACCCAACAGATAATCGAACTTCTTGACATCGGTAAGTTTTTGGAATGCCTTTTCCGGGTCTACTGGCGCCTTCTTCTCCTTCTTTACCACTGATGTAGATGCACTTTCTTCGTCTTCACCTTCTTCCTCATCATCGGGTTCTTCGTCCTCTTGCATATTAATACGTCTTTGCCATTCCTTGACGGGGTCAGGACGGTAGCCGCGCTTAATCAGTTCATCAATCATGGCCTTGCGTTTTTTATTTTCAACCACCAGTGTTCGTTCACACTTTTCCAAAATGAAACGGGCCTGATCAGTAAGACGATCGGCCTGGGCTGTCAGCATACCGACCAAATAGTCTTTACGCTTTTGATAGTATTCCAAACGCAAGGGATAGTAAGACTTCAAAATGTCCACCGATGTGGGATAACGTCTCAAACAATTAGCTTCGTCAAAGGCGTGCATTTGATTTGTGGACATAGAAGAGGTTAGTTTGAATACACGATGGAATCCGCCTGGTTCTTCATTCAGACGATCGAATTCTCCGGGAGCCAGTGTGATTACAAAACGTACTGTGGTATCGGTGTGATATTCGCGATAATCGGAAATAATGGGTTTGACTTTTTCCGAACCATTAGCCAATGGTTCCAAGACATTTTCCTTGTATGTTTGGGTCCATGTTCCAACAGGCAATTCAGATATTTCAATCTTGTCGCCTTGGACAATTTGAATATTACCCGAACTGATGTAACGGCCATCGGATATGTATTCAATGGTACCACGGAAATTCTTATACCTATTAAAGAGATTATATAATCTAAGATTAAAACCCGTACTAATAGACAATTACAATTATTCTACTAACCATGGATGCATTACTTGAGGTTCCTCATTGGCCAACATGCGTCGAATATTCCTCATGATATCCCTTGGATTGTGATTGTAGATTTTGGTTGACCAGCCGGTACCAATACCATCAGCACCGTTTACCAACACCATTGGTATAATCGGAATATACCACTGAGGTTCAATCTTTTGACCATCATCGACCTCATAGGCCAATAATGGATCATCCATGGGATGGAAGATGAGACGTGCCAATGGCGACATAATTGTGAAAATATAACGAGCGCTAGCGCAATCCTTGCCACCCGTTAAACGAGTACCGAACTGACCTCTAGGCTCAAGCAAATTAATGTTATTCGAGCCCACATAGTTTTGGGCCAAATTGACAATGGTCATTTGCAGGGATACCTCACCGTGATGGTAGGCAGACATTTCAGCAACCGAGCCAGAAAGTTGGGCAACTTTAACTTCACGTTTGTCGTTACGTTTGAAGCAAGTAAACATGACTTTACGTTGGCCAGGCTTGAAACCATCCACCAAGCATGGTATGGAACGTACATTATCGGCATTCGAGAACAATACTAATTCCAAATTGATGAAATCGGCATATGTGACAGCCTTGGTGCCTTTTGTGTACAGATAACGTTCCGGCAGACCCAGTGTTTTGCGTCGTTTCACTTCATCCATGTGAGCTGTAAGCCATTCTTTACGCGACTCAATGTGTTTCTTGGAGAATGCCATTACAATACTGTCATCATCCTTGGTGCCATCGTATTTGAAGAGGATACGATGACGTTCCATATCTTGGAAATATTCTTTAGCCTCCTTTGATGTGGAGGTACCCAAACCTAAGGTGGTAAGAAAAAACAAATAAATAAAAATTAATCAACGTTTTTTGGGGGATTCTCAAAAAATAAAAACCTTTGTAGTATTTGATATTGTAGGTATTGTGATTGGGTGTATCGTTTTTCCATTCCTCAAACTCGGGCAGAGAATAGAATGAGAGTTCTTCGTTCTTTTTGGTAGCCTTTACAATGGGTGTGATGAATTCCTCCAAAAATGGCAATCGCAGCAGTTCAGGCCAATTCGTGTGGATGAAGTTGATGAGCAGACCTTTGATGTGAGAACCGTCCTGATCCTGATCAGTCATTATCATGACTTTGCCATAACGCAGTGTCTTGATGTCATCCATGGTGAGGTATTTCTTTTTGTATTGTAGACCAATGATTTTACACAAGTTATTGATTTCAGCATTTTCCGCCAATTGCTTAAATGTGGCTTCACGAACGTTCAACAATTTACCACGCAACGGGAAGACGCCATAAAAATTACGACCAATTACACCAAGACCGGAAACAGCCAAAGACTTGGCTGAGTCACCCTCGGTGAGAATCAGTGTGCACATATACGAGTTTTTGGTACCAGCTTCGTTTGCATCCTCCAACTTCGGTATGCCCTTTATTTTTGAGGATTTTTTGCCACCGGTTTTGGCAATATCATTCTGAGCTTTGAATTTGGCCCATGACAATACGGACTCGACAATGCCCGATTTGGAAACACTTCCAATGAATTTCTCCGAAATATTACATTTCGAACCAAAACTTTTAGCTTGAAGCGTCATGTTTTCCTTGGTTTGGGAATCGAATGTGGGGTTCTCAATTAAACAATTGACAAATATCCACATGTGATTACGAACTTGAAAGGGTTTAATGCTGATGCCACCCTTATTTTTCTTTTTTAACACCTCCAAAAGTTGTTTGATGATGTTATCCACCACATGATCGACGTGCCGACCTCCCTTCGTTGTGGCAATGGAGTTTACAAAAGATACTTGCTGGAAACCGCGGTCCGATGGACAACAGGCTATCTCCCAACGTTCTCCACACTGTTCGTAGACAATTTTAACCGCTTGGCCAGATTCATCTTCTCCCTTGATGTACAAATCGATGTAATCTTTGAAATTCTTAATGGCCAACTTTTTGCCATTTAGATAGACGGCAATACCCTTGGTGGAGGCAGCCACATCGAAAGCTCTTCTCGACATCAAGGCAACAATGTCTTCATCTAAGCGGTCCATTTTAAATTTGGCCAAATCAGGGCAAAATGTAATCTTGGTATAATCACTGCCGGCAAATTCCTTAATCTTAGGATCGGTAGTTTTGGTCATGTTCGCTGCCCAGGTTTGTTTGAACGAGCGCTTGAACTGTTTCGAAGCGGTTTCCACAGTAAACATGGTGGAAAATATATTACACAATTTGGCACCGTAACCATTACGACCACCGGTAACTTTTTTCTCGTCGTCATTGTAATTCGAGGAGGTCAGTAAATGACCGAAAATCATAGTTGGCACATACATCTTTTCCTCCTTGTGCATAGTTACCGGTATACCCTGGCCATTGTTCCATATCGAGATTGTATTCTTTTCGGCTTCAATATCAATTTTAATAGCACTCATGGATTTGTCTCGCTGTTTGTTGTCGGCAGCGTTTACCAAGATTTCATCGAATATCTTATAAAGACCGGGCACGAAGGATATCTCTCGTTGGACCATACGATTTTTCTCTTCGTTGTAGACCCACATCAATTCCTTGGTATGTTCCACAGAACCAATATATGTATCGGGTCTCAAAAGAATATGTTCCAATTGTGATTTCTTTTGGTACATCTTTTCGATGGACATACCACCACCACTACCGGAGGCATTGCTTCCATTCTCCATTTTTAGTTTGTTTGGGGAAAGTGCAGTAAAAAATCTAGGAATGCGTTGAGTAATTTAAATATTTTGTTTGTTTCTACTGTTATCTCCTTAGTTGATATATTGTCCCTACCTACGTTTCCCGGGTAGGAGGAGATGCACAAATGTTTTTACTAAAATAATGTTACAATTTAATTTTAATGTCGCTGTGCAATTAATCTTCCTTCCTTGTATCTATATCCTGTGGATATTTTTAACGCATCCTAAAAAGAAACAGAAAACAAACTTTTTAATTAAATTACAACTTGTAACGGATCTGCAAGAACACAACCTTTCGACAGCGGACACCAGCAATAACTAAAACAAGCCGAACGGAATTACAAATATTGCAGCTGCTGTTGTAGTTTGAAAGGATCAAAGCTAGCTTAAAACACAGAAGGCGTCCTTTATGTACAGCTTGAGGATTCCTGTGTGAATTGCACACACACACACACATCAAAACTATCAAATGAGAAAGAGCGAGAGAGATTCTCAACGAAGAGCGAGCAGAAATACAAATTCCCGTGCAGCTACAAAGTGAGCGGGAAAACTGTATCCGCATTTTGTATCTGTGTGCGTATGTGTTGTATATACAAACAAATGCACAAACGCAAAAATAACAAAACAAGAGCATAGAAATGCCGACAAAACGAAAAACCAAACAAAGCAACACGCTCAAACACAACACACGGCAAGCAGGCAGCAAATATAGCAGCCGCCATATGATGTGTGCTTGTGTGTGTCTGTACATAAAGAACTATGCAATTATGTTAAAAACTATGAAAAATCAGATAAATCATTAGCGATTCACCGAAATAATGCCAATTTTACCTTACAAAATTCAAAGAAATGTAATACGACGACGAAGGCGCCATTTTTGATAAATACAATTAAAAATTACACAATTAAAATTGTGAATATTCCCAACACAATGCAGACAATTGCAGCGGCAGACAACATTTGTCTAAGTTCTTTTTCCATTTAAGTTTTCGCTATATTAAGTTCTCAGGCGACAATAACTTATTCGTATATACATACCACGCTATTGCATTCAACTGTACACCACCATTACAGCCAATAGATTTTGCAAAGAGAAATAAGACGTTAAAGACGCGGCGCCCTAATAAATATCTATATTTATTATATCGGATCTCAATTCTACACTTTTTTCTACTGGAAAATCAATTACAAAATACTTTGTTCAAAGCAAACAATAAAAATTTGCAGAAATTTATTTACCGCACTTCGACCGTAGGAACGCGCGTCGTCTGAATGGCTTGAAACCTTCGTTAAATACGAATCAACAACAAAGTCTGCAAAAAAACTTAACGGCGTACCGGTTTAGTAGTAGGGATCTAAACATTGGATAACTTGTGTGCAAAAATAAAATGTGCCAGTGTGGTACCGGGTACTATTTGAATGTTTCACAGAGAGTATAAAATGTATGTCATGTTATTAACAGAAGTATGTTAATATACGAATAAAATGGATCATGTAAGCCATAAGCAGAATGAAGCATAAACAGAATGCGTAACTGTAGACATGGACTGTTATCAACAGAAGTTAATGTACTAATAAAATGTTGCATTTTATGTTGCAGGATTTTATTTTCTAAAAGCGGCACAATTTTGGTCCATTTCCCATACAATTGACAATTCCAGTAATATTTTGTTTTTCATTTATTAAATATCAATACATAGGAATAAAGACATACAAGTATAAAGACAATAAAGATAGGACAATCGATACGTAAACAATTTCCAACAGATGGCTTTTCCTCTGTTGTTACGATATCATAACAACAGAGAGAACAATATTAAACGTTTTTAATGCTATATCTTAAGCTTATAAAATGAAAATATATATACAGTATAAACTTGATAATCCGGACCTCGACAATCCGGATTATTCGGTAATCCGGACTGCATTTCACAACCCATTGCGTATCCTATAATCCGGATTGATTGACCTATTTGACTCAAAAAATCCGGATTGTAAAGATACGTTACTTTTTATTTTAATAAAAAAAATCGTTGCAAATTTAATTGAAAATGGTACCTATTATATTCAACGTACATATTTTTGAAAAATAATTTTCATTTTTAATGAAAACATAAAAATAATTAAATTGTCACCAAATTAATATAAATTTAAACCAATTAATAAAACTCGATAATCCGGAAATCTCGGTAATCCGGATTGGGGTCTGCAATCAATTATCCGGATTAGCGAGTTTTTACTGTATATTGAGTGCAGACCTCTGATTTTATTTACATTTTATACACACATTATCGCGTATTGGCTGTTTTATTCTTAACATACCTCTGTTATGCCTGATTCCCCCTGGATATTTTTTCATAAACTATTTTGTCAAAAATGCATTTTGTCGAGTCTTTACGGTTTCTGTCTTTGATAGCCCTATAGCAAAGACATAAAAGTATAAAGATACGACAATCGATACGTAAGCAATTTCCAACAGATGGTTTTTCCTCTGTTGTTACGATATCATAACAACAGATAGAACAGTATTAAACGTTTTTAGTGCTATATCTTAAGCTTATAAAATGAAAATATATATTTTGAGTGCAGGCCTCTGATTTTATTTACATTTTTAACACACACTATCGCGTATTGGCAGTTTTATTCTTAACGTGCCTCTGTTAAACCCTGGATATTTTTTCATAAACTATTTTGCCAAAATGCATTTTGTCGAGTCCAAGGTATATTTAATAAGGTAGCCGCATCGGCCCAGCTGTTGGACAAATAAATGTCAAAAATGTTGTTGTAATGTTGAACCAAAAAATTAAAAAACAAAATTATAAATGAAAATCTCCGAATTTCGAATAGATTTTTTGGCAATGCTTTTATTAACATTTTCTACAAGAATTTGTGTAAAAAAATCTTGTCAATCTGTTTGTTTTGGCAATATATTTTTGACATATCAAAATATAACAACCGATGTTTGTTGTAGAAATTCGCCGATGCGGCTACCTTGTATATCTACCTTGGTCGAGTCTTTACAGTTTCTATGTCTTTGCAATTAGTAATGCATTGTAGCATGGTATAATAATAAAAGGTAACAACAAGTGTTGTTGTACAAAAAACGATACAACAACCACATGGGAATTTGTTGTTGTAAGTTCTACTAGTGTCAACTCATTTGACAGAAAAATGTAAACAAACAAACAAATTATCATCAAATTATTTTTATTTTGAAAATGAAATATTTTCGAATCCTCAAAATAAAAATTGAAAAACATGAGTGAAAATCGATCAAATTTGTATTTCTATCGCTTCCACATCTTTCCTTCAATTGAGCCATTGCCATATATGTGTAACACGTATGAAAATGCTGGGAATAGCGAGTTATTCCTTCAAGAAAGATTTGCTTCCTCAAACTTTCCCAGCAGGCAGATTGAGTAAATTGAATACGGGAGCACATTAATAAAGAACAATTTCAAATGGTATGCGTTCCCAATTTTCCTGTTGGGTGATTTTTAAAAACATAATTTGTCAAATTCATATTGACACTAGTATTACGTTGGAATCAAATCAGCTGGGATTTGCTGTTACCTTTTATAATTGTACCATGGCATTGTAGTGATATTTGGTCTGTTCCCGTACTGCAAGAATCTACTACTTTTTACTCCGTTTAAGCTAATTAGGCAAATAATTCCAAAAACGATAAACGCGAATATAGAATGATTTTTCGTATATCATGGAGTATAACAGATAATGAACAAAACAAAAAAGTATTGAAATTAAATGCGATTTTTTTTGGGGCAAGAACCTTTTTTTAATTCATCTCTTTTTAATTGCGAAATTTCAACCAGAACAGGATAAAAACTCAAAATAACTTTAAAAAACGTAATTATATAATTGAAAATGTATATTTTGGTTTATATTTTTTGTTTATTTATTCTTCAAACAATAAATTTTGACAGTCAATGAAGACTACAGCTGGCCTTACCGGTTAACTTTATTTATAAACCTTGTTCCACAGCTTTTCATTTTATTTTGAACTCGGAGAGCGATTTTGACATTTTCTCTTTTACAATTAAAAGTTAAGGGAACGCAACATATATCATGGGCCCAATAAACATATCGTGTAAAAGCGAATATTATCGGTCATCCCTCAAAAAAAAAAATCCCTCAAATTGTCATTTTTTTTTATTTACGTTTTTCACGAATTGACAATGATAGGTCGGGTGGACAAGTGAAATAAAATAAAACATTTTATTCATGGTCGTTCGAGACCCGGTGATTTCACCCGACCTATCAAAATTCTTTAAATTTTGACTTAATCGTGTGAAAACGTAAACCAAAAAATTGGCAGATTGGGGAATTTTCTGCCTAAATGGCCGATAAACAGTGGTGGAACAGAGCTAATATATTTTGTCATTTGAATTCGCCGTATAAAATATAAACAATTCGATGTCATGCAATTCGCCTGTTTACAAAAAATAATGTGCGACAAGTGATAAAAGAAAACATTTTATTCATCGTTATAAACAAATAAAATTAATTGAAATAAATATGCATCCATTTCGTGAACATTGTGACATCTTGGAAGTATTCAAAGAAGGAAAGTCTGCAGATGGTTTCCTGCGTGTGGCAGCACCAATGGTCAGATATAGTAAATTGGAATTCCGGCGATTGTTGAGAAAGCATGGGGTGAGTATTACACTTGTTTTTATAAATAACCAAAATATGAGGTTCTTGATATTTTGTTCAAATGTAAATTTAGGTACAATTACGATTTACACCCATGATTATAGCAGATTCGTTCACAAGAAGTGAGAAGGCCAGACAAAATGAATTCACAACAGCAGAAGATGATGTGCCGGTGATAGCACAATTTGCCGCCAAGGATGCCAATGAGTTCGTAAACTCTGCTCAACTAGTATATCCATATGTTGATGGTAATAGGAATATATAACTTTATAACTTTAGATCAATTATTAATCTTTGTTAACACGCTTATTTTCGAAGGTGTTGACCTAAACTGTGGTTGCCCCCAGTCATGGGCCATAGCAAAGGGATACGGTTGTGGTCTGTTGAAAAACCCAGAGTTAGTAAAGGATATTATTAGCACAACTCGTCGGTCGCTCAGCGAAAAATTAAGTGTTTCCGTAAAGATACGACTATTGCAGCACGCGTCGAGTAAAACAACTGTGGAATTTGCCCGGCAATTGGAAATGTGCGGTGCTACATTTTTAAGCTTGCATGGAAGGACAATGTGGCAGAAAACCTCAGAACCCTTAAATGTCGAAGCAATACGAGATATAAAAGATGCTCTAAATATTCCCCTAATTGCAAATGGAAGTGTGAAGACATGGGACGATGCATGTGAACTGCACAAGCAGACTGGAGCTGATGGTATTATGGTTGCACGGGGTTTATTATCAAATCCTGCTCTTTTTAACACCAAATATAAAAATGCTGAAATTACACCGATAGAATGTGTTCAGGATTGGTTAGATATTGCCGTAGAGGTATGTTTTCTTAATATATTTGTAATTTCATAAAACTTCCAATAACAATTTTCGAATGTACTTACAGGCAGGTGATAATCTGCACTTTCTAACTTTCCATCATCACCTAACATTTATGTGGGGTGCACACTTGAAACGCAAAGAACGTTTGGAATTTAATTCCTTTACTACAAAGGAGGATATTTTCAATTTTTTCGAAAAAAATTACAATATAAAACCTAATACGCAACAAATCATAGAAAGAACCTATCCGCCGTATACCAATTGTACATATGATCATTTCCAGCCTGAAATTAAAGAGACCAATGTCATTGAGGACACTACATCATCATGGAATTCCAATACAAATGGTAAATTTTTCAATGAATTCTCTGAAGAACTAGAGGCTGAGGATGATTGTGATTTAAGTAATAGCTTCTTTGCCGAAATCTAAATACATAATATATGTATTTTAGTGTTAGTGTTAAAATTACTTAATGATTAAGTATATTTCACTTTTATACTATAGGGTAAATATGCTAGGCGAGCAATTATAATTTGTAAAAAAGAAAAAAAAAATAACAATGAAGAAATGCAATAAAAAATTAAATTACAAAAATAATAATATTAAAATGAACTGGAAGTATATAAAGTAGAAAGAAAAATTTTATCTTTTGTAAGTAATGATTTAGATTAGGCGAGTTTACTTGCGACAATTATTATCGTTCTCTTTTGAACTTGATTCATGCCTCTATACAAGGCAATTCGGTTTCAAAAATATATATTTTTTTTACATTTTGTGACAATGTTCTGGATTGGTATTTCAAATTACTGACACTACAAACAAAACGAATTGCCAGAAAATTGTAGGTACGGGCAATCTTTTTCAATTTCTATTCCCCTTGCCCCTCTCCTGCAAACAAAGACTTGCCGCAAGTAAACTCGCCCAATCTAAATTGAGACTAACGTTGTTACAGCGTTACCTATAATCCGACGGGGCGTACAGAAAAATTCAACTTTCCCACTTTTACAAAATGTTGTGTACGGCCGTATGACCCAAATACGTCGAATCTATATCTTCAAGCGAATAATACAAAACGCAAAACAAAATTGAAATTTTATTAAATTAATCCAAATATTTTATGTTCACATTCGAAATGTCATATTTTCTAAATGATTTGTTTTTATTTTCAATAAAAGAAAAAATAAAAAACACGTTCTGTGAAAGTTGAAATTGTTCAACTTGAAATTTTGTACGCTCGATGTATTTCGGTAACATCAAGGTAGATGAATTATGTAGTCGCATCGACCCAGTTGTTTGTAACATTAAATGGTCAAAACTAATTGTTGTAAATTTTAATTAATAATACATAAAAAATATTTTCTTTTTGAGTATGTATTTGTATTTGAGATTTTTAAAACAAAATTTTGGTCGCTAAATATTGACCGATCATCATGAAAACATCCTTCTTATTCGCTTGCCTGACCCCCTTCTGGGTATAATTTCTGGTTTTCGGGTCATAATTGTGGTCTGTAAATATGAACCAATCACTACCAAAACCTATAGAAGTCGTCTTAGTCTGCTTTTCCACAGGCAAATTTTTATTTGGCAAATACTGAGTTTGTAGGCGAGAGGGGTGCGAGGAAGAAAAACAAAATTTGCCTGTTCAGAATTTGCCGTACACGCAAATTCTTTCTACAACAAACATCGCTATTTTGCTCTTTTTTTACGTTCGTTGAAAACAATTTTGTTTTTTAATTTTTTGACATTTTTTTGACCTTTTTATTAAATATACGTTGAAAACAATTTTGTTGACATTTCCTTTTGAACCTATTCGCTTTATTGACACATAGCCGGCTTTTGTTTACAAACCTGTTGCTTTAATTTGTGCAAGTGAAATTTAATTTTTAATTTTTGCAATTTATATAATAAAATATATAAAAAATAAATAAAATATTTAAAAAAACTTTCAAATGCAAACACTTTTGACGTTTTTTTTTCTTTCTTTTGTATTTTGATTCGCAAATTTGGCAAAGAAAAATTTGCTAATGGAAAAGCAAGCGAAAATTTCAAAAGAGAAAACAAAAAATTTGCCAAATAAAAATCTGCCTGTGGAAAAGCGGACTTAGGCAAGAACCGAATCTACATGTAAAATCTCCAGAATTCAACAATGGAAATTATTGAAAGATGCAGACACAGAAAATTTGTTTTGTTTTGAATTATGATGGACAGACGGACACACATGACTAGAACGATTCTGCTAGTTGAGAGATGATAAACCATATACGAAAAGGATCTAGAATCAATATATCGTGCAGCTACACACTCTTGAGGCAACACATAGAGGTATAGGGCATAAAAAAGTTTTGTTCTGATTGGTTCAAGGCTTATTCATAAGGTTAACAAGCACGCGAATTCATGCCTTAGTCTTCTCTTGCTGTCAACTTTTTAATCGCGAAATATGAACCAGAACAGGATAAAAACTCAAAATATATTACAATAAAACCAAGGTAGATATACAAGGTAGGTAACCATGAATAAAACGTAATGATAGTGATGTGCACGTATATTTTGGTTCGAATAAAATATTTTTTGTTTATTTATTCTTCAAACAATAAATTTGACAGTCAATGAAGACTTGGAATTCGCCTCATTGTTAACCTTATGAATAAACCTTGCTTCAAACCATGATGCAATAATAAGGTGATGTATACCAACAAAAACCTTTGTTTTTGTCTCGATTATCTGTCAAATTTTTCCATATAATATTTCAAATGGTTGGCAACACTGCACATCGAATTCAAGTAAAAATTATCCAATTTGACATTTAATCAAGACATCAGCTGCGCCAAATGGACTACCTATTCATTGTGCCATGCTTCAAACCAAGGAATATTTAATAAGGTAGCCGCATCGGCCCAGCTGTTGGACAAATAAATGTCAAAAATGTTGTTGTAATGTTGAACCAAAAAATTAAAAACAAAATTATAAATGAAAATCTCCGAATTATAATACTTTTATTAACATTTTCTACAAGAATATTTTTGACATATCAAAATACAACAACCGATGTTTGTTGTAGAAATTCGCCGATGCGGCTACCTTGTATATCTACCTTGTTGCCTTGTTTACAAATTTTGACATATAATGTTACAAAAAAGTTGTTTTGTTGTAGTAAGTCCTGATTTAGATTAGGCGAGTTTACTTGCAGCAATTATTATCGTTCTCTTTTGAACTTGCTTCATGCGTCTATACAAGGCAATTCGGTTTCAAAAATATGTCTAAATTTAGATTAGGCGAGTTTACTTGCGGCAAGTCTTTGTTTGATGGAGAGAGGGGCAAGGGGAATAGAAATGGAAAAAAATGCTCGTACCGACAATTTTCTGGCAATTCGTTTTGTGTATTTTGTTTGTAGTGTCATTTCAGAAAAAATATTCAATTCAGAATTGCCTTGTATAGACGCATGAAGCAAGTTCAAAAAAGAACGATATAAATTGCCGCAGATAAACTCGCCTAATATAAATCAGGACTATATATTTTTTGACAATATTCTTGATTGGTATTTCAAATTACTGACACTACAAACAAAATACACAAAACGAATTGCCAGAAAATTGTCGTTAAGAGCATTTTTTTTTTCAATTTCTATTCCAGCAATTTTCATACTGTTGCTTCTTATGCCAAAGTCATATACAAAATGTGTGACTGTGTGTGTAATGTTTTGATAAATATAACAAAATATATTCGAAAATCAATTTTTTGAAGATAAATTTTACAACATTTGTAAGAATAAATGTGTGATTTGAATGATTCAATATTTAAATCATATCCCCAAATCGATTTTGAAAAGAAAATCTGACATTCCTTCATTCATTTATTCCGACATTAAATGTTTAATAGTTTAAACTTCCCAGCCTCTATAATCTATAAATGTAGGATGTAGCATCTGTAGATATTAGCTAAAGAACAATATGCATCAAATTTTATTTTTTAAAAATATGCCAATCGACATGCATACAATTTTATGGAATTTATTTCTCAAACAATTTGAAATTGCTAGATAAATAGGTAGTTCATTTAGCGCAGCTGATGTCTCGTTTAACTGCCAAAGTGTTGCCAACCATGTAAAATATTATAAGGAAAAAGTTGACAGATGATCGGGACAAAAACAAAGGTCTTTGTTTTGATGCATATATAGTCGCCTATGTAAACACCGTTTAAGCTCTAGCAATTGTCGCAATATCGACTGTAGCCAATAAATCGGTTACGTTCCACAAACCGACTACATTTATCAATCAGCCGATTAGCCGTCTATCGACGTACATATCCCTAAGCAGAAAGAACGCAAAAACAATTAAAGTAAATAAAGAAATAAAGTAAATGACTAATTTAATAGTGAAGAGTAGCCCACGTAAATTTTGTACAGAGTTAAAGTTAATATCTAGTTAGAGCTACACAATTTGCTGTGTTGCAAATCGTATAAAGCCATAATATTAAAGTCTCTTAATTGAATTAGAAGCGTATCGATTGTATAGAACAAAATATGTGCGTTGAAATAAATATTCTGCAATTATTTATATACACTTGAAATTGGATATCTAAAAATCCATATTGTATTTGTGATAGCAATGCATTTCTCTATTCCTGATACACAGGAATTGTATTCCGAAACAACTGGTACTACCTACACAAGTTATAACATCTATATAAATGGAACTTTTCACGCCTGCCTACGTTACAAACAGCTACATGCCCTCAACGAACAGTTGCGAAGACAACTTTTGCCCATTGGCCATGTTATGCCAGAATTTCCACCCAAGAAGTTTTTACCGTTGACAAATTCGCAAGTCGAAAGCCGACGTCAGGCCTTGGAACACTATTTGCAATTGCTGGGTCAAGATGCACGTGTCTCAAAGCTTCCGATCTTTCAACAATTCTTTTTGAACGCCCAACTGGAAACGGCTCTCTCCGATGGTATATTCGAAGAGTATTTCGGTTATGGCACAGAGGATGGTGACTCATCCTCGACCAGAGTTGAGGAGTATATGCGCTGTACATGTCTTGAAGTCATACTACCAAATGGTTATCAGCTAAAGGTGGACAGCTATGTGTCGGACAATGCAACAGCGCTATTGCGAAAGGCATTGACGAGTGTACAACTGCCTGCCGATATGATGCCATACCTTTGTTTGTTTCTGGTGCGTCGTGAGAGCAAAGACTCGTTGGTGTTGTTGCGAAAACTAATGGACTTTGAGTCGCCTTTTGTGTCACGACTTTACAACCAACCGTGCCAAATTCAAATACGTAAAAGCTATTGGAATCCCGCCTATGATCTGGTGCTAATGAAAAATCCTATTGCCTGTAATCTACTTTTTATGCAGACTGTTTCGGAGGTTGAACGTGAGTGGATAATAGCGTCGGCAGAGGTGTTAAAGAAATTGAAATCCCTACAAGAATACGGTATGCACAAAGAATATATTGATATGGCACGGCAATTGCCATTATATGGTTGTCTGCAGTTCCAGGCTTCAGTTGTGGACTATCCGGAACCGGAAACAACGGCCTTAATAGCAATAGGTAACAAAGAATTGAGTATGCGAACTATGCAACAGGACAAAATATTGGAGACGAAATTTCGGGTCACGCGTATGCGAGTGTGGCGCGTTACGGCGTTGCACAATAGCCAGCAAACGGAAAGTAAAGAGAAAACCTCCAATTTGCAGTTGTCATTTGAATATTTAATGTCGAAACAAAATCTACGATGGATAACCATCAGTAGTCCACAGGCTATGCTGATGTCTGTTTGTTTACAGGAAATGGTCAATGAATTGCTCAATTATAAGGATAATAACAAAGAACCGGCTGCAACGCCCACAGGCAGCAATTCAATGCAAACAACTTGCTCATCATCATCGTCTACATCGTCGTTTACCTATCCCACACCAACATCCTCATCATCGTGTTCGTCTTCCTTTACATCCAATACTACCACTCCGCCCCAAGGTAATTCCAGTAGTTATGTGCAATCGTATAATGATCAGTTAATGGGTCGGACGGAGGAGCAGTCTAGCCCTTCACCATGTGATACAAGAACTACTGCAACTGAGGCGCCAATTAAATTTTTAGCTCAACGAATTTTAAGCAAACAAAATCCTAGAATATCAAAGCAACATTCCTATGGTGCTGTCTTCTTTCGTAATTCGATTTTGGCACGTGATGATTCAGTGCAAAATGAGGCATTCGAAGGTATTGCGGATGATGATTTATAAAATGGTTTTTTTTCATTCATTTGCATTTTTCGTTGGTTTGTGATCCATAAAAAATTATATAGAAATGTATATACATGTATGTATGTTTTTGTGTGTGTTTAGATTATAATTTTCCATGCACATACATAAATTCTGGTACGGGACGTGACCATGTCCACATTTCCATTCATGTTAGGGTTAGGTGCAAATTTTGGTTTATTTTTTGAAAAGTCTAGGAGAAAATGTTCAACTATTTTGGGATTTTTAACAATGGTTATTTTAATATCTGAATGCTCATTTAGGTCAATGTTTGATACACTGGTTACTTAGTACATATGTAGATTACTCGAAGTTCTATATTCGCAATTATCAAATTTCTTCATGGTAAAATTATAATTAGTTGCAGAATTTTTTCTATATTTTATTATATTAAACGGTAAGTTAACATAATAAAAAACTATTATCTTGGCAGCTTTCTGGAAAATAGAAGTAAAAAGTTTCCCATTAAAAAACGGTTTAACATTTGAAAAGTAAACCTTTAAAGACTAATTCAATTTTTTGCATTTAATAATACTGGATAATACTGGACTTTTCCCCCGACAAAAAGAGAGAATATACTACAATAATAAATTTCATTCAACCCATGAGATGAATATATTTAATTTAAATTAATAGTATAGAATCACATTAAGTAATAAATTCTATTCCCAATAAAAGAAAATAAGTAATGTTCTCACACAGTGATAAATATCAGCTGAAATTTAATTGTAATACAAAAAATATAACAAGTTAACAAAAAAGTCACTGTATTACAGAAGAAAAAAGAAACACATAAATAAACATAAATCTCTAAGTATACGTGTAAAATTGCAACACACACATATTAACATAAAAACATAAACCCATAAACTTAAATCCGACTTTAAGCTCTTTTCCATTTCTTATCGATCTACTTTTGTTAAAAACAACGAAACATTATCTTGTCCAAAAAGAAAAATTAAATCTTTAAAATAATAAGAAAAAATATCCATTTGGTTGCCAAAAGGTTTTGAAACAAAATCTTAAATGTTTGTAAACTAAACAAAAAACAAATTCTAAATTTAATGAAGTGTTTGTTAACATATTTCCTAACACAAAATTATTTATGTTTTTTTGGAAGCAAGAAGAAGATTTTATTTACAGGTAATTTTTTATTTTATTGTTTAAGATATCTTTTGTAAATGCATTTAAACATTTTTTTACCTATATACATCTGTATATACCCACACATCTCCAAATACATAAATATATATATATATATATTTACCCAATAATTAGTTTGAAATATTTAAAATTTACTATTTTCACTTATAAAAATTAATAAATAAACGTGTTATGTAATGTTTTTATTTAATAAAACACAAAAATTAATTATACAAAACCCCTATTTAAATTGTATTTGGTTTAGTGAATATTTTTGAGAGGTTTCGATTATACCCAAACATATTTAGAGAATGCACAAATCACTCGTTAAAAAAAGTGCTGAATAGAGCATTGTTACATGAAATTATTTATTCCTTAGCCATTATTGTGCAGGGTACAATAATTCAAGGTAGGACAACTTGAGGTGAATAATGAAAAATCAACTTCCTCTGTCAAAAATAATAAAAACATGCCGATTGCAAAACATGTAAATTGCATATTGAACTGAATTGAGTCTAGTTACCTGGTCCTATTATGACACATTAAAAAATTTTGCCACTACGATTTTTATTCCCGCCAGGGCTTCTTTGTATAATCAAATATAAAGTATGAAACACAAGACTATTGGTATGCTCCTGTAATGCAGATATCTACTAATTTTTACTATTTTTTCGATACCATAAATGAACAATTGTTATTAAATGGCCTGTTCCCGTACTGCAAGAATCTACTACTTTTTACTACGATAACAAATTTTCCTTTATGATATCGAAGAAAATAGTAAAATCTCGTAGATTCTTGCAGTACGGGAACAGACCAAAAATTATTATATTCATGCAGTATCTGGAACATACATTTATTCAGTGTACATACTTTTTTTCAATAGTAAAGTTAGTAAAAGGGGAAAAAAGTGAAAATAATGAAAGGTAATGTAACTCAGTAAAACAACTGTTAAATCTGCTCTCTCAATTCTCTCTTTTACTGGGCTTTAGGGTAAACGAACAACATTTTGTAATAATTTGTACAAATTACAAATAAAGACAATGTTATACTGCAAGAATCTACTACTTTTTACTAAGATAACGAATTTTCCTTTATGATATCGAAGAATATAGTAAAATCGAGTAAATTCTTGCAGTGCGGGAACAGACCAATGGTAACTTTAAGCAAGGTAGGCCATACTTTGTCAAGAATGATAATACACCCATGGTCATGGTATAATAATAGAAGGTAACAGCAAGTGTTGTTGTACAAAAAACGATACAACAACCACATGGAAATTTGTTGTTGTAAGTTCTTTGAAGAAAGATTTGCTTCATCAAACTTTCCCAGCAGGGAGATTGAGTAAATTGAATACAAGAGCACATTTAATAAAGAACAATTTCAAATTGTATACGTTCCCAATTTTCCTGTTGGGTGATTTTTAAAAACATAATTTGTCAAATTCATATTGACACTGGTATTACGTTGGAATCAAATCAGCTGGGATTTGCTGTTACCTTTTATAATTGTACCATGACCCATGGTATAATTATTACAAGGTAGGGCACAGCCATGGTATAATTATTACAAGGTAGGGCACAGCTACCAATTTTTTCTCAAGGTGGCTTGTTCCATCAAATCAAAATACATATTTTGTGTATTATTTTGAATACTATCCCAGTTGTTCAAAAAATATCAATTGTCTGCTATTATATAGTTATATAGCTAGTTACTTGGTGATCTAGTTACTTCATACTCCAAAAAGGAACACAAAATAGACAGTTGGATTTTTTGTCAATTGAAAAAGTTGTCTACGCACATCATACCAATTCAGTAGTTACTGGTAATGCAAAGGGTAATGAATTGACTTCCCTAATGACATACCCATGTTAAATTCACCAGTCTAGGGCATGAAGTGGTAACTAGTGGTACAGGTAATTAGTAAAAAATCTAGTTCATCACCACTTATTCGAACTACTGGGATATCAAATAAATTGAAATATATATATATATATATATATATATATCCAAATGTAATGTTTGACACAACAAGCCAAAATATAATTGTATTATAATGCAAAATATATTTAAAGTACGTTTATATTTACGAAATCCACTCGATCAATAAGTTACAACATTTTTATGGTGCGGCTTCCCTGCAGTAGTGGTAATTGACTCTACCTCAATGAACTCATTGACTACCACAAAAAATTCATCGACAACCTGTCAAACTACCCATAATGCTTTTGATCGGCGAATTTTAGAAGGCGATGGCCGCTTTGATGATGGCTCACGCTTTTAACTACCATTCAATAATAGAATGGAATTAACGTTTGCAATCGAGTAGATTTAGTAGTCTAAACGCGCTCTAAAAATTAATGACGATTCTAACGTAATTTATTTTAAACTATTCATGAAGACATCATATAATGAAGACAGGCCTATTAAACGCCGTTTGCTTTATTCAGAAACAGAGAAAACAAGACGGCGTAAGGGCCACGTGGCATTGACTTCGTAGTCGTATAAAACAATCGCCAGTAGCAAAAAAATTTCTGAATAGGGAATTTTGATAAAATATTAAAACCACGATCTATTGAAAAAATACGCAATATCATTTGATATTTTGCTGCTCTATACAATAAATTTTGGTGATCGGTGGAAGAAAATACATTTTCTTAAGGGGAAATTATGCAAGTTTCATTGGAAAAATCCCAATATCTTTCTTAACAAAAATATACAATATCTCACTAACACAAACATAAAAGAATCCACCACACCAGCCCAAACATCAACCGTCGTCGCCTTTGTGTTTTTCTGTCGTCGGACAGGAAAGAAGAAAGAAAACAAGAAACAGCAGTAAAGCAAGATAACAAAGGCAATTTTTCGCAATAAACAACGCTTGCTGTGCTGTGCTGACAAGAAAATTGCATTTTCCACAAAACAATTGATAGATAAATAAACGCGGAAATAACAAAGCATTTGAGAGGGTTTTTTATTAAACCAAAAGCAACAAAAAACCAGCGAATTTAAAATAATGGATCGTGGGTAAGTTGACAAGTGAAATTTATTAAAATTTGCTTTTATTTTTGGCAAAGAAAGAAGTGCAGTACGTATTTTTTGTATTTGTTATTTTAGGAAATGTTGTTTAAGGTATTCCATATTAGGAGGGTAGGCATTGACGACGAATGCAATTCAGGGTAAATAGCAAAAGAACATGCATGCATGTTATCGAATGCGACTGAATTGTGCCAAGGTCTTAGATATTTTTCTTTCGACACAAATGAACAACAAGAACAAGGCATCCATACACGCACTCACAGTGTTAACAAAAATTAGGGCCATTTTTGGTGCCTCGGTTTTTAAAGGGTGTTCATTTATATATGTGTTTTGCTCTGCTGGTTATTCAGTGGATAGGGGCGAAAAGATGTTCTTTATGGTGGGGTAGGTGTACACCGTTCAAAGATACATAAGGTCTGCTGTATTGTTTGCTGTTTAATTTTATAATTAGAGTGTAAAGAGGTGATAGTTGTATATATTTTTGTAAATCCTCATTAATAGACCTTGTAATGGTATCCCACAACGACGACACTCTATGCATTGTTGTCACTTTTTTTTTGGTTTGTTTTACTTTCTATTTTGTGATTCTCTTTACCGCATTTATATGTGTTACTCGTTTTTTTAGTTTTTTTTTTGTGTTTGCTACATGCCGCATATACGTACATATGTACATGTATGTATGTGGATAGATATTGCATGGTATCAATTATTAGAGATCATGTAATTTTATTGATTTCCTACATCCACCAACCTTCTGTGCTCTTTGGCGTATAGTATTTAGAGTATATAACTACTATGCGTGTTTACTTTCGTATTTATCTTTTTTGTTGTTCGTCGTTCACTACGCTATCGTTGTAGGGTATATTTGCTTTGCAGAATTGAATATAGCATATAAAAGTTAAACAGATACATATATATTTTTAAGGTTTCACGATTTTTGATAAATCTATTAGTTTTATTTGCCTATAGATTGTCATCTAAACCCTATCCATAAAATGAGTAGAAGTTTATGAATCCAGATGAGTTGCTCAATCCCGATGGTTTTAAAAAATCTAGCTTAAGGACCGGTCGCAGATCGTTTGGACTTTTTTTTTTTTTTGAATTGTTCACTTATCCCACATGACATGTAATAATTATCCCACATTTAGATCTCTAATGAGATCCGACTAAATTTAGAAATCATACCTACTCATTTTTATGTGACCCATCGAAGTTCGTCTCGAATTTAAAGTATGCTTTTAAGTGATAGTTCAATTGTAAATTATTCGTGCCAAGTACAATGTCCTGCTATATCGCACCCAAGGTGTATTTAATAAGGTGTATGCATCAGATACAACAACAAATATTTTACAAAAACAACATTGTTGTTATAGAAATTAAATTGGCATGCTGACAATAGGTTTTTGACAAAAATAAACAAAAACAATTATTAATTTAATTTTGTCAAGAACTATTCTTTGAGGAATAATTAATGAATTTTTGTATTCTTGGGTTATTGGCGGTTTTAGGTCAGTGAAAAATAAAGTTTAAGACCTGATCGCGATTAATTTTAAGCCACCCACATGTAGCCCAAGGCTCTTGTGATGTTGTTTATATTGTGGATTACAATATAAACAACATCAAATCTTGCCTTCATAAAGAAAATTTAAGGGCATAAATCCCCGGCCAAAGACTAAATCATGGAAATTGTGTTGACCATATAAAATCTTTCCATAGGCGTATTTAACCTCCGCCGAGAATTGTGACAAGCACCAAGGGGCCGATTCCAATATAGGCTAACATAATCTCCTTGATTTTATGAGTAGATGGGATTTCTGGACAGATTTCCACACATAACATAAAATATGTGTACCAATACGCGAACGGGGTTATAACTGAGCCTAGGTTTCCTTTCCGTCCGCCTCTATGAATGTAGTTTACTTGAATTTTTATTATTAAAAAAACATAAATTTAAAGACCATTTTTGAACTTGAAATGTAATAATGTTTTTTGACACTTTGCTTTACAAACAATAAAGAAAAAAGTTTGAAACCATATGATTGTCACTTACACCTTATTAAATACACCTTGATCGCACCATTAATTAATTGTGGCATGTTTTCATATTGACATTAATTTGTTTGAAGAAGTGGTGGAGTTTCACGACTTATGGAATATTAATTGGGATGGCGTTTTTATTTATCTTATGGGAGGCGTAAATATTACATTAAAACTTTTTAAAATATAGACTGTAGAAGTTTGTGGAGAATTCTTCGGAGTCATGGCTGCTTCGGAGATTAAAACTTGTTGAATGAACTTTATGCAGAAACAAGTTTTTTTTGCCTTAAGTGGGATGTCGAATATCTATGCTGATTTGAATTTGCAATCCTTTAATGATCGTGAACATTTTTTTCCTTCTAATGTATAACTACTGATGACATTGCTATTGACCTAAGTAAAATCAAATCCAAGTCAGTGGGAATTGATTACATATGGGTGGAATTTTTAAAATTTATATTTCAGAGTCAGATCTGATTTTTGATGTTTTTCATACAATTTTGACAAAAATAGTATTTCCCACGCCTTGAAAGATTGCTCGTGTTTTACCAATTTCTAAGCTTTCCACAGTTCGCGATCCTGAGAATTTGCGAAAATTAGTTTAATTTTTTCACATTTTCTGCATGTAAACTTATAATAGTTCCGTTCCAGAACCTAAAATAATCTACTATTTTTCAAGTTTTGCAACTTTTTAATCAGGCCAGGTGATGGTAACATTATATGTCACAACAATTTGTTGATGTTTAAATTCGCCGTAACAATAAAAAACAATTTCAGTATACAAAATTAGAGACATTGGAAATGAAAAAAGACAATGTTAATTAATACAAATCATAAAGTCTTCGAAAAGAAGACTGTGTTGCCTTCTACAATGGAAGTCCTTTTATTGTTTTATTTGCTACCAGAACCATATTATCTTATATAGTTAAGTCATCTTAACTATAAGACATAATCGTAACATTTTGGTTCCTAAGACATGAAAACCTTTCGGTAAAAACAAATTGGTCTTTGCTTGAACTCTCAAGCGTTTTGATTTTATGAAGAGATAATATGGTATTCTATATATATTTTGATTTATTATAAATATACATTATAATCTTCTATCCAGATACATTTTCGTACACTTCAATTAAATTATATGCTTCATTGCCAGGTACATTTTCGTACACTTCAATTAAATTATATGCTTCATTGCCAGGTGGTTTTATACCGAGAGTAAAATTCGTTTATTTGACGGTGAGATTATATTCCGATCCGAAACGACAATTTAAAACTTCCACATATCTTATTGATAAAGATGATACAACCATTTAAATAATGGAACCAGAAATTATATTTGAAGTTTTATTATTGGCCATCAGTCAGACAGAATTTAATAATTTTTCTTTAATTCTACTTCGCTATTTAAAATAAAATTGTCATTTGCATTAGTTTCCTTGTAGTTATAGGTTCCGATTTCGGTTGTAATTTCACAATTGAATTTAATGCACTATTTTGTTGAGTTTTGCCTTTAAAAAACTTCCGGAACCATTGATAATGGGTCCACTTCGTTGCACCCCATAAACGTATCCACTATAAGCCAGTTTAAAATATTTTTAAAAGATTTCATCCTTTACTCTATTTTTAATTCATAAATATTATATTTAAGTAAAGTTTTGGAATTTTAAAAAGTAAACAAATATTTGTAATACTTCAAAAATTCTGTGTTCTGATTGGTTGAAAGAATTCGCATTAAATGTTATATGTCACTGCGAATTAATGTATATTCGCTTTGTTAACAAATGTTGACATATCATGTTAACAATTCGCCGATGCGGCTATCTTATGTATCTACCTTTTTACGTATTTTGAATTTATTGTTTGGATTTTTTTATATAAGTTCATTTAAGTTATTGGCCATATTGTTTTTTTATATTACATTGGATAAAATATATGAAATGAAATTTAACTTTTGAAGTTTCGCAACGATCGGTATTGGGACCATTACTCTTTATAATATATATGAACGATATGTCGGAATACTTGAATCTAAATACATGTTCATTGTACATATTTGATGACGTGTGTTCCTTATTCAGATCGACATAAAATGTTTGACCTTGAGAGTGGAATAAATGCATGTTTGGAATGGACGTTAAGTAGGACTCAGGATAAGTCATTATATATTAACCCAAATAAGACAAAGGCAATTATGAACACCTAAGATAATTGCCTTTGTCTTATTTGGGTTAATATATAAGGTGTGCCTAATGTTAACGTTTTAAGAGGTCAATCAGGCGTCGCTGTAGTGGGTATACGTAAATGTTTATTATTATTTAATAACAGGATAAGTTTTGATTCTCAAATTTATGTTGTTGTTCAATCTAAAATCGTCTATGATCTACGGAAGTTGCATCCAGTGATCATATTTTTACGAAAATGTGTTAAAATAAAAATTAGTTTTCACTTTCACAGTGAAACTCTATTTAATTTTAAAAAGAAAAAATCATAACCTGCCAAAATTAAAATATTATGTCCTTCCAACACAAACATTATTATTTTTTTTCTATTTTCAGCTCCGGACGTTATTCATACAATCGTCGTGAAGGCGGTGGTGGCCAGCGTGGTGGTAATAATGGCGGTGGACACAATCAACACCATAACAATCATTCAAATTCATCCCTATCATCATCCTCCTCATCGTCATTATCATCATCTTCAAATAACCATAATAATAATCATTACGATAATCATAATTCATATAATTCACATCGTAATACAAGTAATAATTCGTCGTCACATTATTCAAATAATTCGCTACAAAATAATTCATCATCGTCGTCGTCGTCGATGTATGCAAATACAACAACACATATAAGCAATAATATAACATCAACAGCCCGCGAACCGATAACACAACATGATGAACTTATACGCTATATAAGAGAAGCATGGACAAAAGTGAGTGATATTTTATTTTTCTCGAATTGATTACACCAATTCAATAACTTAACTTTTTTATAATTTACAGGTTAGTGAACAAAGTACATCTGTTCTATACAACGATACTGATAATCAATTAAAAAATTTTAAACCATTCAATTTGGAAGAGTATTGGGGCCAACGACTGGTTCAAAATATACACGTCTCTTCCCATGGTCATCAATAAGAAGTCTCCATTTTATATATCACAAACAGACAGACAGACACTCAACATAAAACAAATGCAAGGTGTTTAGACAACATTAAAATATATTTAATTGCAAACACAAGAACATTTTATTTGACAAAAACACAAGTCTATTTGTTGGCAGTAAAAATAACAGTATATTGAAAAAAAGAGAAAAACTTTAAAAACAATTCCACGTAAATATGACACACATACATGCAAAAACAAAATCAATCAATCCCCATATAATTCTTGGAACTACTCCCTTCTAAAGAAACAATATAATATAACAAAAACAACAACAAAAATAAAAACATATAAAATTAATAATTTAAATGGAAATTTAAATTATATACAGGGTAATATGAATTTGTCCAAGTGTGACATTTTTATTTGTATTAAAAATTTACACAGTCATACAAATCTTTGCATTACGTATGATGTATATAAAAATATTTAATGTTTTTTTTATTAATTTTATATAAATATAATAATATTTTGTTTATAAAATATACACGTAAAAATGTGTAATGTAAATGCATTTCATTGGGTTTATTTTCTTGTGCATTTGTTGTTTTGAGATGCATATTAAATAAATTTAAAAACTGCCATAATGAAAAAGAATTGTTGCATATTTGCCAAATAATTCTCGAATTGTATTTAATTTCTCGGAATTTTCAGAACCCTGTATATAATTTATGTCTCACACTGTCTATATAAGCAATAGTATATTAGTATTTAAATAACACCAATATTGACCATATAAAACAGAAACAAAACAAAAAAACTTAGGCAAGTGGTATATTTACTTTTTGAAAATTGTTCGCACTCTTTTACTTTCTTTCGGAATATGTAATAATTTCACCAACCCGAATCCTAGCTCCAGGGCTAACCATTCCTATTCTGTACTGATTTCCTGACTTTTTTATTTCCTCTCTATCTTAGCTCTTTTTTTATGTGTTTTTAAATGATGTCTTCTTATTTAATTTTGTTTATTTTTATATGTTTTATGGATTTGCTTTTGTATATTTATTATTAAAAAGAAATACTTCAAAAATTAAAAAACAACCTTTTTCTTTTTTTAAAAATAGTTTTTAGTGATTTTGGAAATTGACATTTTTTCTATTTTCGTTTATTATAATGCTTCTTAATCACTTGTAAAGAATAAGCATAATAAGTAAAACTAGATCATAACGTTTGGGGTCATTAAAATCGTAACCTTTTTTGGTAATGGATACCGTATTATAATAATGTTTTTCATCCTTTTACTATTTAGAAAATATGTTTAAAATAAAAAAAGAAAAAGTTTGTCTCGGACAAAAAACATCAGTGTTTAATTCGTAGTGTGAAGATGGATGAAAATGAATTAAAATACATCAATCAACCAATCTACGCTATTTGTGAGATTTATATATATATATATATATATAATTTGCAGTGTCGAATAGTATTGTCGAAGTACTTAAGGGTTGGTAGAACAACTATTTTTTTTATTGTTAACTCCTCCTCCATTTTCGTTTAAAATAGAAGGTATAGAACCATGCACCCATATGTAGACAGACACCGTTTAAAAATATCTACAAATCCTTCGGGCTGGCTCTTGTATAAAAATGAAATATTCTTAAAAAAATTTTCGCTCAAATTTGTATTCGATGATAAACTATAATTTCGTAGATACAACATGTGACAATTTAAGTGAAAGTTTAACACAGCTCTATTTTGATGCGTCGGTTTTGCGAACCGTCCGAAGACGAACTGTAGGACAACAGTTTAGGATGCCGGAAACAATGCTGTCCCGAACCTTTGTTGTGCCAAAATGGAAAGTGTTTGCCAAGGAATAAGCTTCTCAGTGTTGGAAACTTCATTTGTAACCGAGTTTGACTTCGAAGATTTCAAGAAGTTCGCTATCGTCTAGGATTATTCACAACTTTCGTTGTGCATTATTTTGGATTGTCACTGAGGATGCAAGTTCAGACCGGGGCAACATAGTTCTTATATGACTATAAAGTGTTCTTTATCTTTGTCTGGAAGCAAAGCTAAAACATTTAGGAATTTATTGCTGGCTTTCACTTTTGGTTTAAAACCACCCTATATTTTCAGGTTGACGAGGTGTCTAATTCGGGATAACGCATACAGAAGTTGTTGGTAGTAATGATCACATAAATCCGTTTGGCTTTGAAATGAATTAAATAATTACAATACCACTGTATATACACCAAATAAAATACACTAGATTCATAATTATTATTAAATTAAATTATAGTTTGACATGTGTGAACGCTATTGTACAATAATACAAGGTAGGACACCTTGAGGTGAATAACAAAAAATCAACTCTGTAGGTAGTGGCTTCTTCTGTCTATTATAAAAAATATAAAGAACAAGTAATTGCATTTATTTGAAATTTTCCAACACATAACCTAAAATGCGAAATATGAATGAAATGTTATGACAAGTAATTGCATTTATTTGAAATGTTCCAACACATAACCTAAAATGCGAAATATGAATGAAATGTTATGACTTCTTCCTAAAATCCAATATGGAATACCATGAGATGTTTGTTGTTTATGGAATACCATGAGATGTTTGATATGTACATAAATTTATAGATGTCTAATATATCTGTTTTGTTTACCATAATTATAATCAATATCATGTTTAAGCCACTCTTGTAGAACCTTTTATTTCAAGCATTCACTATAAATTAATATCTACATTATTTACCTAAAACTAGACATTCACAGCACATTGATCACACTACATTTGTTATTGACAGCTGCAGTGTGACAGATGTTCTCTCTGTAGTACACGTGCTTGTTTACGTCGTTTGTTTTGGAGAATAATTTAATTAAAGAAAGAAAAAATGGATAAAATTAAATTACAACAAAATAATTATAGTGACGATGATCAATATGAACCCACAGATTCCGATGAGGATTATAGTGAGGAAGAGAAAGAGCTGTTGCAAGAAGTTCGAAAAGGCCGTTCTCGCGATAAATCCAAACAAAATGAAGTGCTTGCTTTCACAGAGTCTGAAGACGAAGATGAGGAGGATGATGGCGAAGCCGGTGGTGATGATGAGGATGACGACGAAATGGGTTTGGCCGACAGTGATATAGAGGGAGCAGAACAAAATGACGATTTACCCGATACAAAATATTGGGGTAAAAAGTCGAGTGCCTATTATAATACCGATTTTGTGGATCAGGATTATAGTACGTACAATGAAAAGGAAGAGGAATTGGCCCAACTAGAAGGAGAAGAAGCCAAAGCTATACAATTACGTTTGGCCAAACAGCTGAAGGAAGCCGATTTCGAATTGGACGACACATTTAAGAAATTGAAGAAAGCAAAGAAATCCGCCGTTGTGGATGAAGAGAAAAGTACTTTGCTTAAAGCCGATTTCTCTGGGCTGAGTAAACGTGAACGTTTGGAATTGTTCGAAAAAGATTCTCCTGAGTTTGCAGGTCTTGTTGGTGATTTCGAAGGTTATCTGGAAGAAATTCAACAGCTCCATGCTCCCGTTTTAAATTATGTGCATGCCAATAAGGTGCCAATGATACCAGCTCTACAATTTGCTCAACACTATCAAAATATTGCTTTAACTTATTGTAGCAATTTGGCATTTTATTTATTGTTAAAAGCCAATAGATCTTCGATACAAAACCATCCAATTATCCAGAGATTAATGCAATTGAAAAAGCTACTCAACCAATTGAATGATAAGCATGAAAATATCATAAAACCACAATTGGAGGCATTGTTGGAACGTATACAAGATTGTGACATCTTTGAGGTATTGGAAACGAAACATGATGAAGAAGGAGAACAGGAAGCGAAAAAGAAAACTAAACGTACAAAGAAACAAAGCAAATTGGGTATACTATCTGGATTTGATGAAGCGGATGAAGAACCCAAAAAGAAGAAACCTAAAACCACTGATCATGATGATGACGGTGACGAGGATGATGATGCTCATGCTAAAGATTTGGCAACATTGGCTCAAATGTCTTCAGACGACGATGATGATGGTGGCGAAGAAGATGCCATGGGCGAGGAAGAAGACTACGAAGAAGGTGAAGATGCTGAATCTCGTCGTGGTATCACCTATCAAATTGCCAAAAATAAGGGTCTTACACCACATCGTAAGAAGGAACAACGTAATCCTCGTGTGAAACATCGTGGCAAATATCGTAAGGCCTTGATTCGCCGCAAGGGTGCTGTTCGCACTGTACGCAAAGAAACATCACGTTATGGTGGTGAAATTTCCGGTATCAAGGCTACCGTTAGTAAGAGTATTAAGTTTAGGTCTTAACAATAATTATATATGGAATGTAAATATATACATATATTCTTTGTTATTTTTAATATAAAAAAAATATAAATTTTAGTAAAATAAAAAATATATTAAAAGGAAAATATTTTCGGTGCTTCTAAATTCCTTCGGCTACGGTGTTATATAGAGCAAAATTTCAAATTATGCTTAACAGTTGCAATAAAAAATTTAAATTCCTTAAAAAGTAATATACCGTATTATGAGAATAACAATACAATTGGAGATAGAAATGTCCGAGGTTTCAAGCCAACTGCACCAGAAAGTGTCATAGAAGTGATTGATTTGTATGTCAATTGTATCCATGTTTTATAGATCTTTTAAAGGATTTGATGTATTCTATCTACTATAACAAAGACATCATTCCATCCGAATACAATCGGTACACTGACAGTAAATCATAGAACACTAATGGACAGGAGATCGAAGTCGCTTTGGTTTACAAGGGACCTGAGATAATTGCGCCAATTCCGCCTTGACTATTTTGGGATCGATGATCTAAGATAAATTTTGAATTTTAGAGCGCCATTTCCGCCCTACAATCTTGTGATCATCCAGATTTCCATTTTTCGGCTCCCAAAAGTTGTAGCCTAATAAAGAGTTGTCATTGGACATTATGGACAAAAAACATTTTATTTGGAAAATTACCCCCAATTTTTCTCATAAGTATGCGATTTTGTTGCATACCGGTGAAGATTTATATATGGATGAAATCTGAAGATTAGGTAAACCTAATATATTTAAAAATCAGGACTTCAAACGCTTTAAATTGATACCCATATTGCATAGGGTCCCAACGGAACATTGGAGGCCCATATTTTCGGAAATACCGATTTCCGCAAGAAAAAAGGTATACCGTTGTAATCAGGACCCCAAGGACTACATGTGGTGAAAATTTCAAAACTAACCTCGAGGGGGCCCTAAACTAGACTTAAGCCAAATTTTTAAATATTTATCAGGTTTTTAAAAGCCATTTTAATTAAGGTCTGGATCAAAATGACCACCGACCGAGATTCCAAAAATCTAAGCACTTTGAAAATTACTAAAACAAATAAGATTTTTGTCCATTCATTTGACTTCATTCGTTTCAAAAAATTTCGGCTGGTATATAAACATCAATACAAAATGGTATTCCTATCACAATTCTGCTCCTCCTTCCACATAAAATCCAACAATTCTTAAAACTCTAGGCATTACGTTCCATCCATTTGTTTATTGTAATCATATTGAGTGTTGTGTGTGTAAAATATATATAAAAAAACATTCTTCTTCTGGTAACGCTATCCAAGCGTTAATATTTTTTTAATTTTCTTGGAAAAAAAACTAAACAAACAGACTTTACAAGAATGATGTACATACTAAAAGTTGGAGGCAAAATAATAGCAACCAATCCACCATCCATCAAGATGTTTAGATCATTTTGCGAAGCAGTTTGTTGATCTTGTCTTCACGGTTACCGAAGTCACCACCATCGACGTAGTGGTTAGCCTTCTTACGCCAGCCGCCAGTGGGTGTGTTCAATTTGAAGGGCCACAAGAAGTTGGAAGCGTGCTTGAATTTGGGTCCGACGGTGAAGATTTCATGAACCAAATCTTCAACGCATTGGATGCCATGAGCTTGACGCATCTTACGTTCAATAACGAAGTTATCGGTGATTGGGACACGTTGACGGTTGTGCTTGACGAAACCACGTTTGTAGATCAAATCGCGCACCGACTTCAAGTTGGGATAACCCCAGGTAATGTAGGGTTCGGCAATACGCAACATGTTGATGGTAGCCTTGTTCAATTTGATGAAGACACCATTGTTGATTTGACGCAAACGGAAGAGTTGCAAGACCTTGCGGACCTTGGGGGCAACCTTGTTGATACTGAAATAGAATTGGACAGACGTTAATGTTTGCATGGGTAAACAAAATGCAGATGGCATGACAAAGTAAGGTTATGTTTATAAACAACAATCAACGACGACTATCATGTGGAAATGTGGTATCACTCAACAGAGACACAAAAAAAGAACACACACTTGCACCACGACACAACATTACTTTGACTTGGAAACCACCGACACATATACTCTACCCGGCTACCGAGTGTTACACTTACCCGCGAATACGGACAACGAAAGCCAATTTAGCTTCAGCTGGGACATAGAATTGACCACGGCTCTTGGCCAAACGACGCAACTTGATTTCACGTCTTTCAGCCTTAATGTATTCACTTTGGTATTTTTCAGCACGTACCAAGTTTTCACGTTTACGCAAAGCAATGACGGCAGCGCGTTTCAACTTCCTCTTGGTTTCGAGGGCACGTTTGCTCAATTGCTTCTTGCTGAACTTCAATTTGGATTCAGGCACAACTGGGAGCTTTTTAGCTCCGGTTTTCTTTGCGGCCGTGGCAGGCATCTATATGGGGAACACATTTTAACTGATTAATAACGGTAAACATATTTAATTTGCACTAATTTTCGGCAAAAACATTAAAATCTTCACTAACCTTTACTTGTCACAGTGCACGTTGAAAGAGAAAAGGAAAAGGCAAAAGGAAGTTGTTTTCAATGTTGTCAGTACTGAGGAAAAGTTGTCAGCATTGCGTAATACAACACTGCGTTTTCGATAACTGTTCTACTCGTTGATTAATGGCACCGTAACGTAAAGTATAATTGGGAGAATTTTAAGTGAATCATTTCGCTTGTAATAATGTAAATTTGATTAATTTTTAATATGTAAAAACAAAAATCGAAGCATTTTCCTCGTATACAGCGCACAATTATAAAAACTAAAGAATACGAGGTTGTTTATGATGATGAGCTTTTTTATCTTATATTTTTAATGAAAACAGAAAGTTGCTATCATGGTACAATTATTATTCATGGTACAAGAATACATGGTAGGGCAGCTTGAGTTGAATAACAAAAAATCAACTAAGTAGGTGATGGCTTCTTCTGCCAAATATAAAATAATTGTACGCAACAAGTGGTTGTGTTTATTTGACATTTTTTCAAAATATAACTAAAAACGCGAAAAATGAATGGGAATACCAAAATCCAATGGGGAATATCATTAAATATTTGTTTCGTCCATAACAAAGTAATTAATTTCAGACGGGCGCGTTCAAATTTTTCATTTATTTGACATAGTACCCAGTAGTTCGAGTAACTAGTTATGAACTAGATATTTTACTAATTACCTGTAACTACCACTAGTTACCATTTCATACCCTAGACTGGTGAATGTAACATGGGTATGTCATTGGGGAAGTCAATTGTCCCATACCTGCGTTACCAGTAACCAGCAATTTCTGAAGATACCATTGTTTAGTATTATTCCTAGTTACATGTTATTATAGCAAATTAGCTATTATAACAGTTTGGAAAATTGAAAATATAAAAGTTATTTTTAATACATATTTTTTTATTTATTTCAAAATTATGTTCTACAATATATATTTTGAGCATAAGTAGAAGCTTTTGGAGAATATTTACCTATGTATTTCAAACTTTTATTTGTTCCCCCAATCTGTTGGATACTTCTGAATTAACATCTATTGAAAATCTGTAGAATAATATTGTTGAAAAAATTACGATGTATTTATTGCGACGCAAAACCAGAACTTACCATAGATTCAACATATGCATTTTAGATTCCTGAAATTTTTATTTAAACGGCACATCATCTTCAACATCGTGAATATTGATTGCTTATATTTTTGTATAAAATATAACTACAGAAATAGAAAACGTTTTCAATCAACACATGCACAAAATATGTATTTTGATTTGATGGAACAAACCACAAAAATTCGTAGCTGTGCCCTACCTTGCATGGTACAATAATACAAGGTAGGACAGCTTGAGGTGAATAATAAAAAAGCAACTATGCACGTGTGGCTTCTTCTGCCAAAAATAAAATAAATATACGCAACAAGTGTTTGTGTTTATTTTACATTTTTTTCAACATAAAACTAAAACGCGAAATATGAATGAAAGGTTATGATTTCTTCCCAAAATCCAGTAGGGAATATCATCAAATGTTTGTTTCATCCATAACAAAGTAATTACTTCCAGACGAACATGTTAAGAACATAATTTTCATTTCAATTAAATTTCATGGTATAATAAAAGAAGGTAACAGCAACTGTTGTTGTACAACAAACGATACAACAACCACATGAAAATTTGTTGTTGTAAGTTTTACTAGTGTCAATGTCTTTTGACAGAAAAATGTAAACAAACAAACCAATTATAAACAAATTATATTTATTTTGAAAATGAAATAATTTTGAATCCTCAAAATAAAATTTGAAAAACATCTATCAATTTTTCTATCAAATCTATCAAATTTATATTTCTATCGCTTCAACATCTTTCCCATAATTAAGCCATTGCCACTTATATGTGTAACACGTATGAAAATGCGGGGAATAGCGAGTTATTCCATGAAGAAAGATTTGCTTCCTCAAACGTTCCCAGTAGGCAGATTGAGTAAATTGAATACGGGAACACATTTAATAAAGAACAATTTCAAATTGTATACGTTCCCAATTTTTTTTCCTGTTGGGTGATTTTTAAAAACATAATTTGTCAAATTCATATTGACATTAGTATTACGTTGGAATCAAATCAGCTGGGATTTGCTGTTACCTTTTATAATTGTACTATGATTAAATTTGAATATATTTCAATTTATTTTGAATTTATTTGACATAGTATTCAAAACATTACACACACATACACAAAATTTGTATTTTGATTTGATGGAACAATCCATCTTGAGAAAAAATTGGTAGCTGTGTCTTACCTTGTAGCTGTGCCCTACCTTGTAATAATAATACCATGCAAGGAAGTCTCATGCAGTCATATGTTTCCATTTTTTTTCATAAATTGTCCTTTGACAGTATTCAGCTTTCATTTGTTCAGTGGCAAAAATTGCTAAATAATTTATATATATAAATATTTTGAAGTTCCCTGCCTCCAAAATGTATAAATATATGATGTAACAACCATGGTTAAATCCTATGAGCAATGTTCACCTTTAGAAAATATAATTTAATTTATTGAACATATGCCTATCGTCATACACACAATTTTATGGAATTTATTTTTCATATTATTTAAAATTGATAAATGAGTTCCAAATTGAAAAGGGTTGCCTTCATAAATTCTCAAATGAGGCTACCTTCTATAATTATGCCATGATTATCATCAAATATCAACCTCAAATTTAAATTCCATAGTGTCCACTGGATTTGTGAACGGGATTAACGTGACATATACGCTATGGATTTGAGATTGAGTGGATTTAGTAGTCTAAACGTGCTCATAGTCAAATCGCGTAATTGTGAAAATAAGAAACTAACGCCATTTGAATGTTATATTTGATTGGCTTCTTACACACATGGTCTTAATTAGTCAATTAAGTAACGTAGCTTTCGTAATTCCTTTCCTATAATTTTATACCAATTTGAAACAGCTGCTTGAGCCATTTGAGTCATCAATTTCCTGTTCCCAGAGAAAATGTACAATAACTCCCAAGAAAATAATATTGATAGCTATTAAAGTGACAGTATGGCATCTCATGGTGGAATTGACATATGGAAAACATATGTCAGTAGAAGAAGAAGATAACAATTTACAGTTTTGATACGCGCCCTTTAACTTTCCAATAAGGATTTCGGGAATACTTATATTTTTATTTAATTTCATTACTATTCAACAGGCTTTTATTTAAATCGACACGAAAATGTCTTTGGAATGTCCTACAAATCCCGTGTATAATACATCAGTTGAGCAAAAACTAAAATCGAAAAATGCGGCCAAATTGCATCGTTATGGTGCAGCCAAGCTAAGGGATATATTACGAGAGGTAGCGTATATCTATCCACTATTTTAAACAATATTAATATAGATTTTTGTTTGACCATGATAGAAATGTGTAATTCGTGCCAAGGAGGCACGACAACAGTGCTATAGCCAGGGTCGTTTGGATGAGGAGGGTAAAGCGATTTTGAGTAAGGTAATGAATGTACCATCATCATGAACGGTTTGTTGGAAATGTTTATTAAATATTTCGGAATTTAATTATAGATTTCTATTAATGACATTTTGCGTCAAGAATTGGCTGAACTGGAACATGATATTGAATTACAAAATGAAATTTACAATGAGCTGTTGGAAGAATTCAATGAATGGTTTGTCCAGGAATTGGAAAATGAGGATAACTATTTGTTAGAGGTTGCGGAGTCACAAGCATTGATTTGTCCCGTTTGTCAGGTTAATAATTTAGTTGCATACAAGACAAATGAACAATTCAACTACAGATGCAAATGCAATGCCAAGTAAGTAACATTTTAGATATACAATTCTGGTTGGGGACAATAGTTCTCAGAACGACCGCAATTTTTGGTGGGGTAAATCTTAACATGTTGATATAAATTATAAACCTAATGAAATATTTAACTTCATGTTGCTCTTTAATTTCATTTAAGCCAAATATTAATTAATCAAATTCGAAATTATAATATTCCTTTAATATTTTTATAGCTTTCTCTATTCATCGGATACATCATCACTTCATACCGAGTTATTATCCCGAGTCGATACACACGAAAAGAACTGCTTGAGCAAATTGAATTTCTTCGTAAATCCTTTGAATAATAAATTGGAGGCCATGTGTGATAATTGTGATTATTTTTGTAGTTTGTAAGATATTTGCTTTGTAAGCACAATAAATTTTTGTTACTTGTACCATGAATATGAAATGTAAAATATTTAATATTGTAATAGGTTTTTTAATTAAATGAAAATGAATTAAATTTAAATGAAATATGTATAAAGTTTTAATAAAAACTATTCTTAATTTATATTGAAAAAAAATTGTTACTACATTTTTAGGTGATTATATGTGGGGAAAGATATACAGTTGAGTTTGAGGGTTTATATCAGATTTTTTAATGTTTATAACACGTAGGTTTGGGCCTCCTAATTATGAAAATATATGACTCATTGGTGTGGTTCATACTTACCGAGATATGAGGCTTTGTCCTTTATGGATCGATGAAGGTAACATATGTTGTAAAGCGACTACATTACTATCCCACACTAAATTCCTTTCAATTTTTATAGTCAGGAATCTAAGACATTCGCTATGAATAGGAATAATCGGCTACACGATCAAGATATCCTTTTTATTAAAACTAAAAAAAATAACTTAAAGTTCCTAAATTATGGGGTCTTAGGCTAGGGATTTTTAGAGTTTACCATATGGACAGATTGAAATTTCGGATACGCGATATAAATTTGTCTACGTTAAAGATGAGTCTCTTATCACAACAAAAGCCGGTTCTGCTTCAAACTCCAGATTCAGGTAGAGTCCTGTATAGGTTGAGTGTATAGTTTTAGATGGGTAATTGAATAGCTGTAGGGTGTCTGATTAATGTCATTAGGCCAGTGTGAATTGAGCCGGCTATACCAAAGTAAACTTAATTGTGTGAAAACCACTCAAGTTTTTCCCGGGTTCTGCAGTTTTTCTGCTGATATTTGTGGTGTATGTTGTAGAAAGATCGCACCTGTATTCCTTAATGCCTTCCTTAAAAATACCGTTGTGTGAGCAATTCCATAATTGTTGATACACCTGTTGATCTAGAATCGTTCTTTTGTACTTTGGACATTTTTCTCTAGATCGTGAATACGCTTCTTGACATTCCTGGCCGTTGGGCGTCTATCCATTAGGTAATGATTTAGATAACTGCTTCTGTAGCACCATGCAGATATTGGTTTGACAACATCTTGTTGTGTTTTCGCATATGAAGGATTTTCGTCGCCTCATGTAAGTCTTATATCGGAGTATTGAGGGGATACACTGCTGCAGTCCTCAGAGAAAATTTGGAGAATTTAAAAAATTTTTCATTGCATAGGTGGACTACTCATAGGCGCTTTTTGGTTTGCCAAAAATGTTTCCTTATAAGGACCCAAGGTAGTGACTTGAGAACCTTTTTCCTTCTCCTCATGTTATACATAGCTGTAGCTTGTACGGCGATTTATAGAGAATATCGAATGAGCCTTTTTACTATGTGGATTATATGTATATACAATTTTTCTTTCTGACCCATTACGGCAGATGTGAACCTGCCTGTACATCTAGAGTCGATAGAGCAGTATAGAGTTTGGAATTTTGTATATATTCTTAGGATGTTTGCTATTGAACATAGTCCATTTATAAGAGTATTCTTGAGGTAAGGCGTATAATTTCACCGATGTACAATCAATTTGGTATTGTATATTCTTGAAATATGCGAACAAATGTTCATATTTTTATAGATATAACAATTTGCGATGTATATCGGGTTATTGGAGGATGAAAACTGTTAAGAAAATACGTCTTCTTCAATTTGTATGTACAACCAAAGTGAATCCATTTATTATGTTTTATATAAACTATAACTATGTTGTGATTATTATCATACATAGTGGTAAGTAATTACAAACAGGGTAATTCATGTTACTTAAAACTATTAACATATACAACAGTCTCCCTTTTACAGGTAAATAAGTATAAAACAATTTAAAGGAATAAAGTATATATAATATAATAATAATTTTAAGTATTCAAGTACAATGTATAATATAAATAAATAATTGAATGAAATGCAATGTTTTTTTTTTTTTTAATTAACAATCTTCCTCATATCGTTTTGGCTTCTTGACCTCTCTACCGCTTCTTGTTAAATAAGTTCTATTATTTTCATTGCTGTTATTATTATGTTCAAATAAATGTTCCTCATAATTATTATCACTATCTACAGGGCTTACATCTCTTTCATTAGTGTCTTGATTATCGTTACATACATTTCTTTGTTCATTCGAGGATCTATTAATTATGTGTTCTTGACTTCTCCTATACATATACCCACCATCATCTACAACTACAAACGATCTTGGCTCTTTGCACGCCTCCACAATTTTTCCAGGTTGCCAATAGCTGGATGGTGTTTTCTTAAACATGACCGCATCGCCCGCACCAACTGGTTTCAAAACCTTGGACTTTTTATTATAGTATTCTGTAGTTTTCTTTAAGTTCGTCTCTAACTTTGTCCTATAATCGCCTTTATCAACTATTTTTGGCTCATGGTTTCTTGAGATTGAAGGAATTTTTGTGCGTAATGACCTAGACATTAGTAATTCGGAAGGACTATGCATACTACCTTTCGGTGTTGTTCTGTAGTGCAATAGAGCTATATAGGGGTCAGAATTACTCTCGGAAGATTTTAATAGCATTTTTTTAACTGTTTGCACAGACCGTTCAGCCAAGCCATTTGACCTTGGCAAAAATGGGCTTGATGTAATATGTTCAATTTCCCAATCACGACAAAATATTCTAAATTCCTTTGAAGTAAAAGGCGGGCCATTGTCGGACATAAAGATGTTCGGTATACCGTGCCGTGCAAATATAGATTTCAGTTTAGTGATCACGTTCATGCTATTGTAGCCATTATTGAGGATTTCGATCTCAATAAACTTTGAATAATAATCGACTACAAGTATGTACATTTTATTTCTGTATTCAAAAAGATCACACCCCACTTTGTACCAAGGAATATCTACAATTTCATGCGGCATTAGATCAGGTCTAGTATTCGAATTTTTGTATTTCATACACACCTCGCAGTTTGATACCAGATTTTCAATCTCACTATTTATATTGGGCCAGTATACAGACTGACGTGCCAAATTTTGACATCTTGATACTCCCATATGCCCTTCATGAATCTTATGCAATACCTTTCTTCGCAAATTTTTTGGTATCACAACCTGATTATTTTTTAATAATATGTCATTTAGTATTGTAAGTTCATCTCGTGTCTTAAAGTATGGCATAACATCCTGGTCCAAATCATTTCTACTCTTTGGCCATCCTTTCTTCACATATTCAATTAATTTTAAAATTGTTTCGTCCGTCTTACTTTCTTTCCTAACTAACTCCATGTCCGCAAATGAACTCTCTAGATTCGAATATACAAAATTACAGTGAAGTGATACTTCTTCATCAAGTTCTGTCATTACTACATCACTTAGTGGCGCTCTTGACAGTGTGTCCGCTATTTTTAATTCCCTTCCTGGTTTATATACAACTACGAGATTATAGCATTGCAAGCGTAACATGAAACGTTGTAGTCTTGGCGGAATTTTATATAGTGGTTTATCAAATAGGGTTACCAAAGGTTTATGGTCTGTTTCTACCATAACCTTATTCCCATATATGTACTGATGAAACTTTGTACAGCCAAATAAGATAGCGAACAACTCCTTTTCTATTTGTGCATAGTTTTGTTGGGAATCCGTTAACGAAGCTGATGCATACGCAATCGGTCTTCGTTCCTGTAAAATTGTAGCCCCTAATGCCGATTTCGAAGCATCCACCGATAATACCAATTCTTTATCGGGATTAAAATAAGTAAGCACCGGTACTTTGGTTATTTCATTTTTCAAATCATTATACTCTTTCTCGTGATGTGATGCCCAATGCCACAAAACGTCATTTCGTAAGAGCTCCCTAAGATTTTTGTTTTTCAACGAGAGATTTTCTATAAAGGAGCCCACGTAATTCACCATACCCAAAAACCTCTGTAAATCTTTAACATTTTGGGGCCTAGGCATGTCAACAATTGCTCTAATCTTTTCATCATCAGCACGGACTCCTGAACTATCAAAAATGTGACCTAAAAACTTCATTTTATTCTGTAAAAATTTGCATTTATCCTCATTAAACCGAAGTCCAACCTTCCTCGCCCTTTCTAACACCATCTCCAAAATCTTTAAATGTTGCTCAATATTTGATGAATATATTAAGAAATCGTCAATATATATAATTAAGCCGGGAATGTCACCAAATAATCTAACCATTTCGGCATGAAAAATTTCAGGGGCCGCATTAATACCAAATGGTAATCTTAAAAAACGATATCGCCCGAAAGGTGTATTAAATGAACATAGCTTGGAGGACTGCTCGTCTAAGGGCACCATCCAAAATCCACTTTTGGCATCCAATGCTGTAAAAATTGTTGCTCCACTTAATTTGGCCTTGCAATCATCTATGGTTGGAAATGAATGGTGTGGTCTCATAATTGCCTTATTTAAATGTCTCGGATCCAAACAAACTCTTATAGTGCCATTGGGCTTGCTCACCAGAACAATAGAACTCACCCACTCTGTTGGCTCACTTATCGGGGTTATTACCCCCATTTTCCCCATACGATCTAATTCTTCTTTTAAGCCTTTATACATTTTGAATGGAATTCTACGAGGGGGCTCCACCACCGGCTCTATGCCATCCCTAAGTTTCA